TTTTATAATGAAATGGTTAAGTGAATGCTGATATATTTATACTGTCAGAGTATGTAGACTATACAATGTTTATGACGGGTTTGTAATATGTTCAAGCGTTAAGTAAAATATGCAAATGCAAAATTTTACATACACTAGGATCTCAGATAAAATATGTGCATTGTTTTTAAAAAATGTTTAGTGCTGGTGAGGATGCGGAGAAAAAGGAACCCTTGTGCACTGCTAGTGGGAATGCAAACTTGTGCAGCCACTATGGAAAACAGTATGAAATTTCCTGAAAAAAAAAAAAATTAAAAATGGAACTTCCTTTTGACCCAGTAATCCCACTCCTAGGAATATATCCCAAGAAAACAGAAACACCAATCAGAAAGGATATATGCACCCCTATGCTCATAGCAGCATAATTTAAAATAGTTAAGATTTGGAAACAGTCTACGTGCCCATCAGCAGATGAGTAGATTAAAAAACTGTGGTACATCTACACAATGGAATACTACACTGCTGTAAAAAGGAAGGAATTCTTACCATTTTCAACAGCATATATGGGATTGGAGAGCATTATGCTAAGCGAAATAAGCCAGTCAGAGGAAGATAAATACACAAGATCTCACTCATTTGTGGAATATAATTAACAACATAAACTGATGAACAAAAATAGAACCAGAGACAGAAGCATTGCACAGACTGTCTAACCTATGAGGGAAGATGGAGGTGGTGAAGAGATAAGAGATCAACCAAAGGACTTGTATGCATGCATATCAGCATAACCAATGGAAACAGACTGTAGGGGGTGAGGGCATGTGCTGAGGGGATGGGAACGGCCTGGGAGAGGTCAATGAGAAAAAAAGGAGACTATTCTCATGTAATTACTTAAACAATAAATAATTAAAAAATTTTAAAAATGTTTAAATGGCTCGAATGTTAACAGTGATTACTTCTGGACAGTAGAATTTTTAAAATGCACTTCTTTAATTTCAAATATTCTCCAGTGTGCAATTATTTCTATTTTAAGCAATGAAAAGTAAACTGCTTTAAACACACTTCCTTTCTTCATCCAACTTGGAATCATAATGCTGGACTTAGCTATTGGCTGATAATGAAGAGCTGGAGAGTGTGTCTACCAAGTTGCAATTTGTTAATGTCAGAGCCAGTACTAAAACAAGTTCTCCTACCTTGAAGTCTTCATACTTTGCTGACTAGAGGGAGCAAGCTTTTGTTGGGGCTCTTTTGTACCCATTGGTGTATCCAGGTTGCTGGCTTCTTTAGCTCAAACTCTGGAATATATGAGGCAAAAAAGAGAACTTGTTATCACGTCAAGTAAAAGGAAACTTTATGAGATATAATTCTCAAAATGTGGTTATCTGACATTCTGCATTATAATTATCAGTGGTAAATGTTAAAAATGATGATATCCAGCCAGCATTGCTCAGTTGTTGAGTGTTGACCTGTGAACCAGAAGGTCACGGTTCAATTCCTGGTCAGGGCACATGCACAGGCTACAGGCTCAATACCCAGTGTAGAGAATGTTGGAAGCGGCCGATCAATGATTCTCTCTCATCATTGATGTTTCTATCTCTCTTTCCCTCTCCCTTCCTCTCTAAAATGAACAAAAATATATATTAAAAATAAATTAAGATTACAATGGAAAGAACCCTGGGAAAGGTAAAATACTAACAAGTTCACACAAAATTTATCAATTATGTTTCAGATCCTTTCCAGAAAATAACTTTTAATTCCCTTCTTTTTTAGTATCCTCATTTTTATTTTTCCCCAGCACTTGGCCCTATCAAAAAATAAGAATGGCTGAAACCGGTTTGGATCAGTGGATAGCCTGCGAACTGAAAGGTCCCAGGTTTGATTCCAGTCAAGGGCATGTACCTTGGTTGCGGACACATCCCCAGTAGGGTGTGAGCAAGAGGCAGGTGATTGGTTTCTCTCTTATCGATGTTTCTAACTCTCTATCCCTCTCTCTTCCTCTCTGTAAAAAAATCAATAATATATATATTTTTTCTTAAATATATTTTATTGATTTTCATTTGTTTTGGCAGCACTTGCTGACCCTCCCACAACCCACTAGTTCCCCAGTAAAGATCTAGGGAGCAGTTGCAAGGTCAAGCTTAATTATGCTTAGAGGACTGTGCCCTCCAAGCTGGGACTTGTTTGTGACTTTGCCAGCAGGTCAGTCCGAGGCTTAAACCTATAACTGCTTCCTACAGATTACCACCTTACTAAAATTTTTAAAAATTCCTCAAGATTTTTACTTATCATTGGTTTACATTGCTAGAGAAACCAGAGGTGTTGGTTGGTTGTTTTGTTTGTTAATAATATTTTTTAAAAGTATGTCTTGATTGATTTTAGAGAAAAAGGGAAAGGTTGAAAGAAACATTAATGAGAGAGAAACATGCCTCCTGCACACCCTGTACTGGGGAATGAGCCAGCAACTCGGGTATGTGCCTTGATCAGGAATTGAACTGGAGACCTCTTGGTGCATGGGTCAATGCTCAACCACTGAGACACACCAGCCGGGCTCTAACTTTTAAATTTAGAATTGCACCAGGACAGATTAGTGAAACATGAACTTTCTGTTCTGTTTTCTTCCTTTTGACTGGCTTAGAGAAATTTATTTATTTTTAAAAATCTTTTTTATTGATTTCAGAAAGGGAGAGTTAGAAACATCAATGATGAGAAAGAATCATTGATTGGCTGTCTCCTGCACGCCCTCTACTGGGGAGCCTGCAACCTGGGAATGTGCCCTTGACCAGAATTGAACCCGGGACCCTTCAGTCCACAGGCCGACGCTGTATCCATTGAGTCAAACCAGCTAGAAATTTAGATCAAGTGAAGTTTATACTAAGCATAATATTGATTTGCCAGACTTATTTGAAACAACCAATAAGCATAATTTTAAAGCACTCTTAAGTGGGAAAAATACCTGTAAAAATTACCACCTGATACATACCACTGTTTTATAGTACAGAAAGAAAAAGGGCTGCAGGCTGTGTAGCAATACACTGATTGATTAGAAAGGGATGGAAGAAATTTTCTTTCATGTCATAAACTGTTTGATTGTGATACTTGCTAGATAGAAATGAGAGAAATTTTTTGAGTTCCTTTTAATAGAGGTTCCTAACCATTCAATTTTAAAAAGTATGAAGCTGATATTTTTCAAAATCTCTGTATTTTGATAGGGATAATTAAGACATCTACTCTGTACCCAACACTACAGATACTGAGAGAAATCTGAAAGGTTAAAATATGCTTCTTGCCCTGGACCATTCTCCAATCTTGTTAATCAAGATGTGTATGCTGATATTAGGTAGCATCAATCTATACAAATAGTAAGGTACTTGATAAATGCCATCGATGGTCAGAAAAGAAATATATCAAGGTAATCTGGAAATAAATGGACAGTAAAGAAGGTGGGATTTGAGTTAGGCCTCTGGTTACGTAGAATGTGGTTAGGAAGAGAAGAGGAAATAATAGAGCATTTTAGGTGAGATAGACAAATATAGCACAAGCTGGTAAAAATTCTTTGATAGGTGGTAAAAGTTATCAAGATGGTCACTGAAGAAACCAACCTTATCAAAAGACCCAACATTGGTGTTTGTCAAGATTTGTTTTCAGATAGGATGAGCTTTTTTTCTCCCAAGTAGTGAGGATGGACTTGTGTGTTCACTATTTATGTAACCTGGGACAGACTAAAGATAACAACAGGCCTAAAGCGTGCTGGAAACTGATCCTACATAGTATCTTATCTCTGAGCAGTAACCAACACAGTAATTTACAACACACAAATTCCTTTAAGGGAAGTGAGGCCAGGTTTATAACCACCAGGGGGAGAGAGCACATTAAAAAAGAAAAAAAAAAAAAAAAAAAAAAGGCGAACCATTAGCAATCTACTAAATATTAGAGCAATTGCCCACCAAACTCAGGCCCCTAGGATCACAGCTTCTTAGTATGCATTTTACTTCCATTAAGCTAAGTAATGAATTCCCACTTAAATACCATTCTGATTTATAACCTGCTTCCTCATTCCAAGAAGACATTTATATGTACAAAAGGTTTAAAATAATTGCAAAATACCCAAATTTAAAATAATGGGTAAATATCTAGCAGTTGTATTGTTCTCTTAGATCACTCATCCTTTCAGAGGTACCCCAACAATGGTCCCCTGGATTCCCTAGTTTCAACTTGCCCTTAACAGTCCTCCCTCCCGGCTTTCCTGGCCTTCACTCCTTTTCCATAGCCAACTCTGTCCCCACCATCTGACCCAAGTTACTTTGGAGGCAGTGCCCGTAGCCTAGCCTGGGGCGCCAGCGCGAGGGCCAGCCAGATGCCCTTCTGATTGTGACCTCTAGACCTTGCTTTCCTGGGCCAGATAAAGATTTGTTCTTTACGCGGAGAGAATGTGTGAACAACTAGATGCTCTTTTTAACCATGACATAATTTTAATAAGCACTTATGTTCCAGACCCAACTTCTAAAATGCGGAACATTAATTCGTGTAATCTTCATAAAAAAAAAAAAACATTAAAAAAAAAACAAACCAGCACGAAGCGGGTTCTAATACTACCGCCCCGTCGCAGGTGAGGACGCTGAGGCACAGCGAAGGGCTGAGCTCATCATCGAGGGAACGTGGTTCACACCCGGCTGGGCAGAGCCTCGGGGGCACTCTCCCCTCGCCTGCGCCGGGACGGGGCCCGGCGGCTGCGGGCTGCGGGCCGCGTGGGGCCCGCGGGGGAAGACTTTCTACCTGGCGTTGTCCTTGAGGGTGGCGCCCGCACCTTTCCCCGGAGCTCAGGGAGGCTGATTACACTCGGCCTTGGCAGGCACGTGACCGGCGGGGTGGGCGCGCGGCCGCCCGGGTGGGGCGGGCCAGTCCTCCGTCGGGGGCGGGACCTGGTGGGAGCCCCGCCCCGTCTCGGACCAATTAACTGGCAGCAGCGGGCTCCACTTTAAGGCACAGCGGGCTGCGGAGCGGGTGTCCCGGTAGCCACGGTCATGGCCACGGTGCGGGAGAAGGCGGCGGCACTGAACCTGAACCTCTCCGCTCTCCCCAGCCCGGCGCAGAGGCCGCCCGGTAGGTGCTGAGGACTCTGTCCGGGGAGGGGGAGGCTCACCGGGCGGGCAGGTGAGCTGAGGCTACTGTTCTCGCGCGGGATACACTTTCTGGATAAGAAATATTTCAATGAATACAGGGTTGGGACTTTTTTCTTTTTCTTTCTTTTTTTTTTTTTTTAATGGTTGCATGACATTAGGAAAGGCGCTGGTGAATTCTGCCACCAGGTTAATCATATCTTTGGGGGCATTTGTTTAGTATCTTGGTTTCTTTAAATGTCCAAATGAACGGAATCGGATATCAGTTACAAAATTCCGATCCTAGCATACATATAACTCAGTAAATATAATTAAGATAACACTTGGCTTCCCCCTCCCTCCCCTTTTTTAGATAAGTTGCAACTTTCCCCCCTTTCTGTAGCTGCAGTGTGGGGTGTTAAGAGGAATTGGTTCCCTTCTGACAAAAAGCTTTTCATTTGTAAAATGCTGACCAGGTGACAGTGGTCAGTGAATTGAGTTGGGTCAAATGAGTGCGTCTCAGTGGCCCCAGTCTTGTGTTTGACTTATAATTATAGTAATATTCCTTTTAATCTTCAAAAGTTAATGACAATTTGTATTAAAAACTGCTTTTCTTCTGTACTTTTCTAAGAATAATCATAATAATGACCTATTCTGGTCCAATTTAAAGGATTCAGAAAAGCACATGATACCTACATTCAGAATTTTTTCTTGTTTTATATTGTGAAGAGAAGGAAAATACTGTTCATCATTTTCATTTAAGAATTTAAAATCAAATGATACTGGAAACAGTCATGAGAAATCTTTAGGCTCACTTTCTGAGTAAAAGAAAGTCCCAAATTTTACATAATTAAAAATATGGCACCCTATTTTCTCCAACAACTGAAATGCCAATTCTAAGCTTTGGGCTTTTGTGAACAGATTCTCAGATGGCGTAAGGGAATATGTGTTCAAAATTAAGTAGCTGACTTTCAGAAAGAAGAGCTGAAGTTCTGCTTAGTGGATCTGAAGCCCACACACTGCCTTTTCTCATTTGTTTTGCTTGCTACAGTCGCAAGCTACCTGTTAGTATTTGTTAGCAACCTATCTCTTCCACCCTAAGGTGCCTTGTCCCAGTCCCAGTAAGCACAGTAATAGGAGCCTCCTTTCCTGGTTCCTTGCCATTCCCTTTCTGTGTGTTCTGGCAAGCAGCTTTGCACGTTTGTTTCTCTACCGATTAATAACTCTGCCATACCTTAAAGGGGCTGTTACGACTAGGGACCTGATTTATGTAGAAAAGTCTGTATGTTAACTTTCAGTAAGTACTTCAAAAGATATTTGTCTTTTAATATAGACAAACAAGAAAGTGGTGTGTTATCCTGCTATCCCTTTATACTGTAACTTAATTCTTTGAATTCACCTGGTATCACTTTTCCAGGGAGCTCGAAGTACTTCCCATATGCTATCTCATTAATCTGTATGAATTAAAGCAGTGGCCAGTGCCTACTTTTGTTGATAGTTTTCTTAACGTATTTTTAAATTGTCCTTATTAGTGGAGATTTATTTTACATACTTGACCTGCTTGCAGCCTTCTTTTCAGAGGCAATCTCAGCCTTCTGCATGGCAACTCTAATGCCGCATAAGAGGAAAACACACTTTGGACTCCCAAACCAATATGCAGTAAAAGTGTTGCAATACTGGAATGAGTGTACAGGAATTTTTCCCCACTCAGTCACAGCTGCCCAGTTTTAACACTCAGAACGGTTCTCTACCTTTATCTATTGTCAGGATTTGGTTAGTATCTAATAAATATAGTCCTTTTTCTTTGTCTTGACAAATTCTCTAAGTACAGTTTTAAAGCATCTTTTGAAAAAAAAAATCCTTAAATAAAATTCTCTTAAATCTTAAATGATTTAGAATTCTCATATTTTCTGATGAAGAGTTAAATTTGAGGGTGGAGACTATTAGTTCAGAGAAAGGAAGAGGAAGAAAGATACTGTCACTTTTCTTTTTCCTTTGTGTGTGTGTGAGAAAATATTTTAAGTAGAGGATTTTTAGATGTCTTTTTACTTTTTGAATATTAAAACTTTTAGAATAGACTTAGATTTACAAAAAACTTCCCATATGTCCTTCACTCAGTTTCCCTTATTATTTACATCTGACATTAGTATAGTATATTTGTCACAATTAGTGAACCAATATTAATACATTGTTATTAACTAAGCCCACACTTAGAAATCCTGTTTTTGCTTACTGTCATTACATTGAGTCCATGTCTCATTAGGTTTTTCTAGATTGTGACAGTTTCCCCTTTATTTTCTGTTAAGTGGTGTGTACTGTTCTAGCCACTTTACATATATTGTTTCAAATGGTCCTCACAGTAACTGAGAGAAATAGAATTAACTCTTTTGAAACAAAAAAAGTTGGGTAGTTTGTCCCAAGATTGCATTATTTTAGTAAATGATGGAGCCAAGAATGGAACCCTAGTCTCTGGGATTTCAAAACCCATGGTCTTATTTTATGTTTTATATTCATAGAACCTAGCACTGTGCCTACTGCATTAACATAAGTTTCCAAATCTGAACCATATTTGATCAACCAAAAGTTTCTGAACTTTGGCACTACTGACATTTGTTTTGGTGGCTGGCCCTCTGCATTATTGGATGGTGAGCAGCATCTCTGGACCCTCAACCCACTAGATGCCAGTAGTATCCCCCCTCCTCAGCTTGTGACACCATAATGTCTCTTAGACATTGTCAGATGTCTAGTGGGGAGTAAAAATAGTGAACCACTGTGTTAACCTTTCTTTAAAAAAGTTGGTAATAGCCCAAACCGGTTTGGCTCAGTGGATAGAGCGTCGGCTTGGGGACTGAAGGGTCCCTGGTTTGATTCCGGTCAAGGGCATGTACCTTGGTTGTGGGCATATCCCCAGTTGGGGGTGTGCAAGAGGCAGCTGATCGATGACTCACTCTCATCAATGTTTCTAACTCTCTATTTCTCTCCCTTCCTCTCTGTATAAAATCAATAAAATATATTAAAATATATATATCAGACATATGTCATAACAATATCTTTAAAAAAAGTTGATAATAATTTACACGTATTGAATAACTACTGTATTACGTGAAGCACTCCATAAGACATTTAAATAATTTGAATCTTTGTAAACTATAAGGAAATTTGAAAGAAATAAGACACCAGGTCACTATTCTTCAAATTTTGTGTAAACTGTCCTGGCGGGGTTTGCTCAATGGTTACAGTATTGGCCCTCAGACTGAAGAGTCTTGGATTGGATTCCCAGTCAAGGGCACATACCTTGGTTGCAGGGTGGTCTAGGCATATGTGGGAGGCAGCCAATCCATGTGTTTCACATGGATATTTGTTTCTCTCCCCGTCCCCTCCCCCCAACTCACTCTTAAAAAAAAAAAAAAAAAAAGTCAATGGAAAAAATACCTTCAGGCGAGGATTAAAAAGTAAAATTTTGTGGAAACTGCCTACCATGAGCTATCTGCATTTGGCGGGTGGTAAGGGGATAGTTTAATGCCTGAAAATGAAAATAAAATTATTAATGTTCATTTTTAGCATATTTTAGTAATTCTGTGTGTATGTTTATTTTACATTGGGATCCAATTTTATTGGTTGATTTGAGAGAGAAAAACAAGCATTGATTTGTTCCACCTATTTTTGCATTTACTGGTTGCTTCTATTTATTTATTTATTTATTTACTTATTTATTTATTTATTAAATATATTTTATTGATTTTGTACAGAGAGGAAAGGAGATAGAAACATCGATGAGAGAGAGTCATCGATCAGCTGCCTCTTGCATACCCCCTACTGGGGATATGCCCATAACCAAGGTACATGCCCTTGACTGGAATCGAACCCGGGACCCTTCAGTCCCCAAGCCTACGCTCTATCCATTGAGCCAAACCGGCTTCGGCTGCTTCTATTTTTTTTTTTTTTAAACTAATTTTAGAGAGAGGAAGGAGGAGATAGATAAAGAGATAAACATTGATGTGAGAGAGAAACAAGAGGTGAAAACCCTAGCCAGTTTCACTCAGTGATAGAGTGTTGGCCCTCAAACTAAAGGATCACAGGTTCGATTTTGATACCTCAGTTGCAGGCTCCATACTAGGCCCTGGTCAGCCCTTGTGTGGCAAACAATTTATGTTTCTCTCTATCTCTTCCCTTCCCTTCTAATCTTTCTTAAAATCAATGGAGAAAAATTCCCTCGGGTGAGGATTAACAATAACAACAAAAGAGATGTCTGTCCCCGACCCCCCTGCCCCCACACTCCAACCAATTGAACCACATTGTCCAGGACTTATTTTTTTAATTTTTTTTTTATTGTTGACACTATTGTAGATCTCTCACTTCCACCCAGCCCCCATGCCCCCTCCCTTAGCCCTCACCATACTATTTTCTGTGTCCTTGGGCTATGCACATATGTTCTTTAGCTAATCCTTCACCTTTTTTCCAGTTCCCTCTGACATTTGTTAGTCGGTTCATGTATTCATTGGTTGCTTCTATGTGTCCCAAGAAGGATTGAACCTGCAACCTTGGCATATCAGAACAATGGTCTAACCAAACTGAGCTACCTGGCCAGGGCCATGGGATCCAATTTTATAATATGTATTTTGATCTAAGGAATTAACATAAACTTACTATTTCAATTATTATGTATTTTAGTCCTTAAGTAAGGTTTTGCTAGCAGGACCACAGTTAATGCTGACTGCACAGATCATAGTTGATGTTGATTATCCCCTTGTAACTCTTGAGTAAGTGTAATTTCCTGACATGTCTGCCTTATGACTTGATTTTTAAGAACTATTATAGTAATAGCTTGATTATTTAGTGTGCATTTTTAGAAGTGAAGATGGTTATCTGTTATATTACAAGTATATACCAGAGTTCAATATCAGAAGCTTAACTTTATTATTGGTAATTCTTTTTTGTAAACTTCAAATACATATAAGGGCAGGTCTTTGCTTTTGAAAAATGGCTATTGTTTTCAAGCAAATAAAAGTGAGACTGATTAAAAAATGAATACTAACTAGATTGATTTAGTGCTTAAAAACGTGTGTGGTATGTTACAGATCTGATTTAAAACAATTTCTGAGCTTCTTGATAGACCACCTTCCAAAAAGCTTTTTATCTGATAGGGTAAATTTTTTTGTATGCTTCATTTCTTACTATGTTGTATTTGGAGTTCAATATCTGTATCTAAATGGAGAGGTATAATTTCAGTCTCTAAAATTGTATAATCAGCAGTTTAGATCTGAAGCCAGCATTAAACATAGCATTCAACTCTTATCGTACTAAATGAAGAAACCAACCAAGAGGTAAACCTTTTACTCAGGGTCATCGCAGCTGGTCTGCAGACTCTTTGAATCTCTGATAATGATGATTTTAGAACATATTTGACCATACATAAATAAGGAAACATCAGGATGTAAACAGTGGTGGTTTGGCTCAGTGGGTTGAGCATCAGCCTACAGCCTGAAGGGTCCCAGGTTCGATTCAGGTCAAGGGCACATGCCTGGGTTGTGGGCTCGATCCCCAGTGGGAGATATGCAGGAGGCAGCTAATCAATGATTCTCTCTCATCATTGTCGTTTCTATCGCTCTCTCCCTCTCCCTAATTCTCTAAAATCAATAAAAATATATTTAGCCAAGACCGGTTTGGCTCAATGGATAGAGCGTCGGCTTGGAGACTGAAGGGTCCCGGGTTCGATTCCGGTCAAGGGCATGTACCTTGGTTGCGGGCATATCCCCAGTAGGGGGTGTGCAAGAGGCAGCTGATCGATGACTCTCTCTCATCGATGTTTCTAGCTCTCTATCTCTCTCCCTTCTTCTCTGTACAAAATCAATAAAATATATATTTAAAAATATATATATATTTTAAAAAAAGATGTAAGCAGTATAAATTTTAAATTTTCCAGCACACATACACATGAGGTTTGGGGATAAATTAAAGCTTCAATTCTGGTTGCTGGGCTTACAAAGCATTCATTGTATATTTCTGACTTCTTGAATTCTGTTTAGAAATCACAATAATTCATCTTACTGTACATGGCCTGCTATATCAATGTTCATTTCAGCTATTAGATGGTGATAAATAAGAAGATTTAAAATAGCATGTTGGGGAATCTGTGTTTGACTGCTGAAGTCAGCATTAAAAAAACAGGTTACCCTGGTGTGGGTTTTGGCACATTTACTTGTTAAATCCAGGATATATTGTGTATTAAAGTATCTGTAGGGACATGAGCTAGTTTGGGTCTCTATGGGTGGCAATGCTTGAGGGGAACTATATCTCATTGTGCAAAGGTTGGGAATTAATGGCCAATGAGAACAGAGGGGACTTGAAAGGGCTGAAATGTATCATGCCTAGAGGACTCTGAAAAGATTGTGTGGCTCACAGGTGCCTACTATCCTGCTCTAACCTGTTCTTTAATCTTTTATACTGTGTTATCCAACCTGCAAAACTTCCTGATTCCCCATATTTAAGCAGCAAGTTAATATAAGGAAATTTATTACTTACTTCCTAATTCCCTTGTGCAGATTAGCCTTTTCCACGTCATTGAGGCTGTGTATCCCCTACCTCTCACCCACTTCAATTGTCTTATTGATCTCAAATTAATAAGTGACTCAGCCTTATCTTTTAGCTCAGCTGACTTATGTGTTTCATCATTAACATTACCACTAAACCAGAAGTCTGTTTCACTGGTATTTAAAAGGCAATCTGATCTCTACAGGATTGAATCTGGCTTATTTTCCATTCCTGTCTTACCCCTGTGTACTGTGGATAGGACATATTATAGAATTTATAATATCCTGCCTTATTTTAGGAGTGCTAACTACTAAGTGTTTTTAAATAACTTAGTTAAGGGTTCACAAATCTCAAAGTTGTACGTTTTGTTTCTCCTGTTCTTCTTTAAAAAATATTTTATTGATTTTTACAGAGAGGAAGGGAGAGGGATAGAGAGCTAGAAACATCCATGAGAGATAAACATCAATAAGTTGCCTCCCGCACACCCCCCACTGGGGATGTGCCCTTGACTGGAATAGAACCTGGGACCCTTCAGTCTGCAGGCCAACGCTGTATCCACTGAGCCAAACCAGTTAGGGCTCTCCTGTTCTTAATGGCTCACTTTCACTTAATCCAATTCTTCAATGAATTTAATGCTAAAACTATCTGGTGGCTTACTTTTTTTTTAATTTATTGGGGCCCTAGCCGGTTTAGCTCAGTGGCTAGAGAATCAGCTTGTGGACTGAAGGGTTCCTGGTTCAATTCTGGTCAGGGGCACATGTCCCGGTTGTAGGCTCATGAAGGAGCCAGCCAATCAATGATTCTCTCTCATCACTGACGTTTCTATCCCCCCCTCTCCCTCTCTGAAATAAATAAAAAATATATTAAAAAATATAAAAATATTTTTTAAAAGAATTTAGTGGGGTCACATTGATTTGTGGCTTGTTTTAATATATTTATATTTAAGTACTAGGGAAATTAGTATATATTTACTACCTATAAAACTGAGGACAAGTTTGTTTAATTCACTAAGCCTTAATTACCTCAGAATAGGATTGTTAATAACTATTTCAGAGAAGTTTATCAGGATTAAATGATAGAAGGCAGAGCTTGCCATATTGTAAATACTAAACATTAACTATTAATAATACAATGAAGATATGAAGAAGACTAGAAAGCAGACATTAAGTTCATTGAAATCTTCACTATAATCTCTAATACTTTAGGAAGTTAAGCATAGTAATGGCTAATACTCTTTCTGTTTAGTCATTGTGGCTGGAAACAGTAAAGCTGCTCTGAGTCCTGGATACCATGAATGATCTGGACATATTTTGAGATTCCATCAAATGCCTGATTCTGGCTCTTTTCAGTAGAGATTAAATACTGTACTAGCATTAAATCTGCTCAGAAATCACATTGTCAGAAAGGTATTTCCTGATGTCCATCTAAAATAACATTTTCTTCCTAACCTAGCTTTAGTTTTCTTCTTAACATTGATCTAACATATTTGTATTGTCTGTATCTTCCCATAAAGTATATGTCTGTGAGAACAGGGACTTTATTTTGTTCACTGTTGTGTCCTAGTACATAGGACAGTGTTTAGCATATAGTAGGCATTACATTTTTAAATGAATTATTACTAATAGTTTCGTATTTCAATAAGAAGCTGACTTTATAATTGTTCCTTTTAATAACTTTAGAAATTGCCACTTTTCGCTTAAGGATTGCTTAGACCTTATCATAAATAAATAAGATTAATCTGTGATTTTTTTTTTTTCCATTGCAGGTTTCAGTGTGGCCCAGAAACCATTTGGAGCCACATATGTATGGAGTAGCATTATAAACACTCTTCAAACACAAGTGGAGGTGAAAAAACGAAGGCACCATTTAAAAAGACACAATGACTGCTTTGTTGGTTCAGAAGCTGTCGATGTCATTTTTTCTCACCTAATTCAGAATAAATATTTTGGTGATGTAGATATTCCTCGGGCCAAAGTAGTAAGAGTGTGTCAAGCACTTATGGACTACAAAGTATTTGAAGCAGTTCCAACCAAAGTCTTTAGAAAAGACAAAAAACCTACGTTTGAAGATAGTAGCTGCAGCCTTTATAGATTCACAACAATACCCAAAGAAGACGGTCAATTTGGCAAAGAGAATAAACTACATTCATCTTCTAGGTTAGTATATAATATAAGGTTAGCATGGGCATACTGGAAGTATTTTGTCTACTTTTTAATAAGATGCTGACTGGCTTTATGTTTCCTTTGAATTGGTAAATTAGGCTAAAATTTAGGTCTGTGGATAAATTTGATCAAGTATAGAGTGAACTTTTTATTTTTTGCTATCTCTTAGAATTCTTGTTTGTTTCTGCTAAATATAAAATATGAACTATCAGACTGATTTTTCTGCTTCAAGTTACAATTATAGTGTAAAAAATGTTAGAGAGCTTATCCACAAAATAGTATGAGAACAGAGAAGGTGAAGGCAGGAAGGCAGGGTATTATTAGATTCCACAGAATAGTACATGTGAAGTATGAGAGGCATGTGGGAGCCAGAATACACAGGTTTCATATGATATATTAAGGAGTTTATTACTGCTCATGCAGTTTTATGAAGCCACAGAAAGATTTTAAGCAGAATGAGATTGCATCCTGGCAGCTATACGGTCAGCCTAATGGGGAGAGATATTTGGAATCCATTGCGATATTGCCGTTCTACAGATGAGGGTGAATCACACGACCATGGTGAAGATGAGGGAGGCATTTAAAGGGAGACTGTGGGACAGAACTGTAAAACCCAGTGACTGAGCCGAAACCCGTTTGGCTCAGTGGTAGAGCGTCGGTCTGCGGACTGAAAGGTCCCAGGTTCGATTCCAGTCAAGGTCATGTACATTGGTTGCAGGCACATCCCCAGTAGAGGATGTGCAAGAGGCAGCTGGTTGATGTTTCTCTCTCATCGACGTTTCTAGCTCTCTATCGCTCTCCCTTCCTCCTCTCTGTAAAATATCAATAAAATATATTTTTTAAAAAACCCAGTGACTGAAATGAATGTAGGTGTTAAGTACATAATGAACTGAATTATTTGTTTTTTTTTTTTGTTTTTGTTTAGTTTTTTTTAAAAAAATATATTTTATTGATTTTGTACAGAGAGAAAGGGAAAGAGATACAGAGTTAGAAACATCAATGAGATAGAGTCATCGATCAGCTGCCTCTTGCACACCCCCTACTGGGGATATGCCCACAACCAAGGTACGTGCCCTTGACCGGAATCGAACCCGGGACCCTTCAGTCCCCAAGCCGACGCTCTATCCATTGAGCCAAACCGGTTTCGGCTGAACTGAATTATTTGTTATAAAAAAACAAACAAACACCTTTTCCTTTTATTCCCCTCACTTGAACCGTGCAGAGTTCATTAAAGCTCTTATAATTCAGAGCTGACACAAGTTTAATGTATTGACTTTCAAATATTTTAAAACTATATATTTAAAACATAATAAAATTTACCACTATATGTGGGAAGGAAATATGAGGATGAGGTAGGTTAAGTCAACATTTTCCAGATGTAGGTCCACATGCTTTATCTGAAACCTCTGGGGACCTGACTGATTCAAGAATTTGGAATTTAAATAAATAAATAAATAAATAAATAAATAAATATAATTTGGAATTTAGGAGATTTTAGAAAGATATTTTGTACATATATACCCTGTTTCCCTGAAAATAAGACAGTGTCTTATATTAATTTTTGCTCCCAAAGATGCGCTAGGTCTTATTTTCAGGGGATACCTTATTTTTCCATGAAGAATACGGTACACATTTATTGTTAAATGAAAATAGAGGAAATTTATTACCTGTATACGGTATGCTAGTACGGTAGTTGTCAACACAAAACAGACAAACTGAATCCTACAGTATCAAGAATTTACTCATTTATTCAATGACAATCATGTCATCATCTTCTGGAACATCATCATAACAATCCAATTCCTGAATTTCCTGGTGAATTTTTTGTGACTCCATTTCTTTCAGAATCAGTGGACCAAATCTCTCATGTTTAGCAATAGCATTCTGAGACAGAGTCTAGGGGGGGCCTTATTTTCGGGGGGATGCCTTATATTTCATTCAGAAGGAAACCTGTAAGTAGGTCTTATTTTCGGAGAAACACGGTATTAGATAACACCTCTAAAAGGATCTTTATGATTAAAGAATCTTTATGATTAAAGGATCTTTATATTAAAGATCCTTTTAGAGGTGTTATCTAATATATATGTACAAAATACCTTTCTAAAAAACACTAAACTTATTAGTCTTTTTGCAGTAAACAAAACATTCATACTAACTGGATAAATAAAAAACTATGATAGTCTCAAAACAAGTTTTGTCACCATATGAGTTCTGAATAAACTTTAGATTTTTTTCCAAGCTTTTTGGGTTTCAGAATTGTGGATAAAGGATTGTAGATCTGTATTTGGAAAATGATTAGCACTGTCTACCAAAGAATGCCCCAGAAATAGAGACAATTAAAAAAAAAAACCAAAAACATCTATATAATAAAAATCCAGTGGTCAAAATGCAGTAACCATCAAAGACTGGTCACCAGGAAGCTGCGTGCGCAGTGACACGCAGGTGTGAGGGGCTGCAAGTACAGCGAGGTGCATGCGGGTGGGTGGGGCTGTGTGATTTCATGCACTGGGCTTCTAATTAAGCATAATGAAGTTTGTTTTAAAATTCAGACTAACATTTTAGTCACTGAATTACTTAAATCTAATGTTCAAAGAAGAATTTAGAGTAGTATATTTAGGCCTAATAAAAAAGGGGGGATTTTTTTTTCTGCTCTTAGAATTTTCATGTATTGTGTTTTTACTCAAATACATAAACTTTCTGGAAACTCTTGGCTCTCAAATACTAAAATTTTTCTGTGGGCTTACTAATAAACATTAATTTATTAAATAAATTCATTTTAGGTATACAGATGCATTATTTAAATCATCTGATATTAAATCAGCAAGTTTAGAGGACCTGTGGGAAAATCTGAGTTTAAAGCCTGCTAACTCCCCTCGTGTAAATATCTCTGCAGCTTTGTCTCCACAAGGTAAGTAAAGATGATGCAAGTAAGAAGCAGAAGGCTAATTTCAAATAAAGTTATTTAAAAATATTTCAATCTTAACCTTTTTTAGAATTTAAATATTCACAGCACAAAGAAAGAGTGCACTGTGTATTAAAACTGTTTATATTAAGTTTTAACAGAGGTCTATTATCTTTAACAAATAGATCAGTGTTGCAATTCTTGAACACTGACTTTTGTCCTGTCAGCTGGCAGAGGTTCAAATCTGAAATGTTTTGCATGCAGATTTTTATTCAGAATATGCTCTCAGATATTTATTTCCCTAAGATTTTATTAGATTAAGTAAAAACTTTAAAATTCCATTAAAATAGTAATAGAATTCCTATATTATTCCTTTTCTGTGGCAATGGAATCAATTTCATGACTGATTTCCACCTTCCCCCCCACTATTCTAGTGGTGGAAACCTCGAGTGAAATAATCTGCAGCCAAGAGTTTCAAACGAGTTTTCAGATTGAATGAACCATTCTTTCTTCCAAAGTCCTTATTAACATGCTTTATGACTTGATTTCTTATCTCTGCCATATTGCTTTTTATAGTACAAGAATGAAAAGAATTCTTGTTGTCCAAAGTCTGTTCTCCTACACTTTAAACAAATCTTGAATTGTTTTCAGAAATCACTTGATAAGGTTGACTATTTCTCTCTCTCTCTCTCTCTCTCTCTCTAGCTTAGACCTGCCTAGACAAATATCATGGTGAATATTTAGTAACTATTGTTACTTTTCGGCCTGTCATTTTTTCCTGTGTAGTTATTAATGAAGTTTGGCAAGAAGAAACAATTGCACGTCTACTGCAACTTGTAGACCTTCCACTTCTTGAATCCTTACTCAAACAGCAAGAGGTTGTACCTAAAGTTTCTCAACCTAAGAGGCAGCCTGACTTGGTCAACAATAGTAACTACCTGGATCGAGGGATTCTCAAGGCTTATGGTGACTCTCAGTATGTGGAAATACATATAATAATTTGAGTGTGCTTGTAGGTTGGTTATAGATCATTATTTTAAGATAATATTTTGAATTCTTCTGTCCATGGAATCAGATATGCATAGTCAGTTGAAATTATCAGTATTTGGGAAAGTAAAGAACAAAATCACTGTGGTCAAAATTAGAAAGATTTATATTTCATTATTTTTCATATTCATTTTTGTTTCACATATAACTTACTTGTATATCAAGTGAAGAAAATGATTATGCTCCATCTTCTTAGTAGGTCTGTTTGGTGTCTTAGGGGTGTCCAGTCTTCAAAGAAACCTGGAAAAAATGAACAGATTTGGAAAATTCTTAGAATTATCTGACCATAGATGCTTAAAAATTTTTTTAAATTTATTTATTGATTTTGGAGAGAGAAGAAGAAAGAGAGAGGAGAGAGAGACATTGACTTGTTGTTCCACTTATTTATGCATTCGTTGGTTGTTTCTTCTATGTGCCCTGATCAGGAATCATACCACAACCTTAGTGTATTGGGACAATGCTCTAACCAACTGAGGTTCCTAGCCAGAGTTCTACATGTGCTTTTTATATGCCTCTAGAATACCTGTTAAATATATATTTTTAAATTAACTAGTTTTGTTAAATAAATATAATGAAAGTAATTCTTGATCTCACCTCTACCGTTCTTCTGAATATTAATCTTAAGGTTTAAAGGCTTAAATTAATTTCAAGTTAAGGAAATTATGATTTTTTTTCCCTTAAAGCAGAACGCTATAACTTTGATGCTTCTTATAACTTTGATGCTCCTCTCCTAAATATAATTATTAAAGGTTAAAATCTTGTATTTTAAGCTCATTTAATTTTTAACAATTTTTCCTTAGCAGATAGTGTTCCAACATAGTTAGAAAGATGGAAATGTTAGACAGAAATACAACTTAACATGTTTAGTATTTCACCGGATCTACATTCCAGGGAACTATTAATAAACAAATAGTTGAAGGTCAAAAGCTAACTTAAAACCTTACATGTAAAAATTAATCCCAACTTACTAGTTATTGAACTCTGCATGTATAATAGGAACTTATTCTACAGGAATTTAAATTACATTTCTATAATCTAAAGTAATGTGAAAACATTATGACCTTAAATTTAAATACAGAATCAGCAATTGTGCTAGAAGTAAACTTAAAAGATCATCTCGCTGCTGCTTCTTATAAACTTGATGAAACTGATGCCCAGAGAGATGAAGTGACCTGCCCATGATAATGCACCTGGGTGGTAGATATAGTTGTTCTGAGTCTAGTATATGAATATTTTTAAACTATATAAATTAACAAATCAAGTATTAAAAGTTATGTCTTGAAATACAGCCTTTTTCTGAAGTTACTCAGCTGGTATTTTATTAGAAATGGTAATTAATATTTTATTATTCTGAAACCCTACCTTATCTTCCTCTATTCTCTCCTAGCCAAAGTGAGAGATGACATCATATATAGAGCTCTGAAGTAAGGAATACTATATTAGAAAAATAGTGGTCTAGGAACCAGATCTGGGACCTAGTCCTGCCTGGGACCTTGAGCAAGTAACTTAAGAGTTTCTGTGCCTCTACTGTAAATGTAAAGAATAGAGTTTGAATTTCGATGTCCTTTTTCAGCTCTATATTGTCCTGGATAGCTTCCATTTTCACTTTTTAAAAAGGTATGAAGATATATAATAAGCTGAATTTTTTTATCTGTGATACATGACCTCACTGTATATTAAAAAGAATTACACTTATCTTTTTTTTTTAATATATTTTATTGATTTTTAACAGAGAGAAAGGGAGAGATAGAGAGCTAGAAACGTCGATGAGAGAGAAACATCAACCAGCTGCCTCTTGCACACCCCTACTGGGGATATGCCCGCAACCAAGGTACATGCCCTTGACCGGAATCGAACCTGGGATCTTTCAGTCCGCAGACTGACGCTCTATCCACTGAGCCAAACCGGCTTCGGCAGAATTACACTTATCTTTACCTAAGGGTGTAGAAGTTTATCCTGGTGGCAAACTTGAAATAGCTAGTAAATTGGCCGGCGTATAAGACGACCCCCTAATTTTACAGTTAAAACATAGGTGTAGGCCTATATTCGCTGTATAAGACTACTCCCCACTTCAAAGAAAAGACTTACCTTACCGTCAGGATCTGCAGGTAATTTTTGTGCAATTTTGGTCTTTTGCCCCCGATTTTCGGTTGACTTTTTTTCGTTTCAAAAGTTGTCTTATACGCCGGGAAGTACGGTACTCTTTGCTTTTTAAAATGGTTCTTTTTTCCCCCCATAGGGAAGATGAGTGGCTGTCTGCAGCAACTGACTGCTTGGAATACCTTCCAGACCAGATGGTGGTGGACATAAGCAGAAACTTTCCTGAGCAACCAGATAGAATAGACTTAGTGAAAGGACTTCTGTTTAATGCCATTGGCAAATATTACAGTAGTAGGGAACCTCTGTTAAATCACCTATGCGATGTTCATAATGGAATTGCAGAGCTCTTAGGTAAGTAAGAATCTTACTGGATACTAGAATTTGTATTGGAAGAAACAAGGACAAAAAATTGTCCTCAAAATTAATCAGAATGATACAATGTCAAGCTAGGAGTGGATCTGGATTATATGTTTATTTCAAAACATCTAGGGATCATTTGGAAAGAGGCTTTGATAAGTTCTGAAGTAACCTACAACTTCTAGTGGCCACAGAAGGCCACTCTCATTCGCTGGAAGTTCTTTAAGCACAGAGTAGCAGTTCTCTTCTTTAGAAAGGAACACAAGTACCACCATTATTCTCCTTCAGTCTCTTCAAAATGGGACTCCTGCTTTGTCCCTCTACCAATAATATACCAGGCTATTTTTCTCAGGTAGGGTTGGATACATCAATACTGTACCTATAGTGTGCCCTCAAAATGTATTGAATTAATGAAAAACAGGCTGGGAATTTATATACAAAGCCAAGACTTAGATTTAACATTCTAAGAATAATATATGACAAGGATTTAGGGTATTAGTCGCCAATTTGAGAATTGGCCATTGATGGTATTGGCCATTCATTATAATTCCTAGTCTTTTTGTTTTGTTTTTTTGCTTTTGGAAATTATTTTGAATATGTTTACTGTTTAGCTTAAGCTTTACCTTGAAATATTGTTCCCTTTAATGTAGTCATATTTGGTCAAAATTAAAAGCACTTTTCTTTTGGCTAAAGTGAATGGGAAGACTGAAATAGCATTAGAAGCTACTCAGCTCTTTCTAAAGCTTCTGGATTCCCAGAACAGAGAAGAGTTTAGAAGACTACTGTACTTCATGGCTGTTGCAGCACATCCTTCTGAATTTAAATTACAGGAAGAAGTAAGTCTTTTGTCTAAATGTTCATTCTATTCAGTATCCTTAATACTTATAGGACCCTATCATCAGCATGCTGAAATAGGATAATAGTTATTAATATTTAACATTTTATATTGAATTTTTAAATATATGCCATTAGGTATGTTGTTTTATTTTTATAGAGTGACAACCGAATGGTCGTGAAAAGGATATTCTCAAAAGCTGTTGTTGACAATAAAAATTTATCTAAAGGCAAAACTGATCTTCTGGTACTCTTTTTAATGGATCATCAAAAAGATGTCTTTAAGGTAAAACTCTGAAAGTAGTTCATTTGAGCTTATGTAATAGGTCATTAAATTAATGCATCTGAATAATGTCCAATGTCTTCTCCTCCTCCTCTTCTTTCTTCTTCCTCCTCCTTCTTTCTCTTCTTCCTCCTCCTCCTTCTTTCTTCTCCTTTTTTCTCCTTCTCCTTCCTCCTACTCCTTCTTCCTCCCTTTCTCCTCTTCCTGCTCTCCTCCCTCCCTCCTTCTCTCTCTCTCTCTCTCTCTCTCTCTCTCTCTCCCCCTCCTTCCTTCCCTCCCTCCCTCCCTCCCTCCCTCCTTCTCTCTCTCTCTCTCTTTCTTTCTTTCTTTCTTTCTTTCTTTGTTTCTTTCTTTCAAAGATCCCTGGAACTCTACATAAAATTGTCAGTGTTAAGCTCATGGCCATTCAGAAGGGAGGAGATCCAAACACAGGCACAGGTAATCTGAGAAATATTATTTTCATGATCTTCCAAAGATAAATTCTTACTATTTACTTGCAAGTGTTTTATTGTAAGTTATTGTACCTAATTTCAATTAAACTTTAAACAACCTCCTCAGACTTAGCAAAGAGTTTCCTTATAACTCAAATGCAGATTGACCAGGGTTAGAAAGTTGGCAGTGCTTAGCACCTTCTGTGCATTTTACAAAATGGGAACTAAATATAAAAATATTGCTTGATTTTTACAGTTAAATCTAAAGACTAGATTAATTAACTGAACTTTTTACTTTTAATATTTAAGGATATACTTTTTGTGAGAGGATTGATCAAAGTGATTATTCGGACCATACACAGAAGACAACCAAGGATGAGCTATTGAATTTATTAAAAACTATTGATAAGGATCCAAAACTGCCTGCCAAAGAGAAGAAAAAATTGCTAGGTCAGTTCTATAAGTGTCATCCAGACATCTTTATTGAGTATTTTGGAGACTGAATTTCTAATGTCTGTATATAACTTGTGTATTTTAAGAATTATGTATCCTAAAAGACCCAATCACATTTGTAATTTTGAATGTTCTTCTAAATATTAAACTGTGCTTAATAAAACCTTTTTGTATAACCTTTTGTGTCTGAAACTGAGTTATTAGATGGTATATTGCTGTTAAGTATTGACCCTCTTATGTGAGATGATTTATAATTCTTGTGAATAAAACTTTCTAAAACATAAGCATTTAAATGATATGACATTATAGTGTTTACATAAGAAAGTATTAAACAGTAAGAATGTCCATAATTACAAGTTAATAGGAGTGTGGTTTGTACCTTGAGGTACTTCTTAAAAATATAAAATTTGATGAAGTAAATTTAACTTCAACATCTTTTATAGCTTATTGTGGAAAATTTTAAACATATATAAAAAATGGGGAGAATAGAATACTGAACTCCCACATACTTATCCAGTTTCAACAACTCTCAGCTCATGGTCAATCTTGTATCGCCTATACTCCATTCCTTGGTCCCACCCTCGCAAATTTCAGATATCATATCACTTTATAAATTAGAGGCTTGGTGCACAGGTTCGTGCACTGGAAGGGTCCCTCAGCCTGACATGCACCCTTTTGCAATCCAGGATCCCTTGGAGGATGTTAGACTATCAGTTTTTGGGCCAGGCTGAGGGACCCCACCGGTGCACAAATCCGTGCATTGGGCCTCTAGTATGTATATAAGATCTTTGGTTAATCTCTTCCTGCCCTCTCCCCTTCCCTCTGAGATTCATCAGACTGTTCCATGTTTCCATGCCTGTGTGTTGAGCATCTGCTCCCTGGTGGTCAGTGCACATCAGAGCTACTGGTTGAATGGTTGCTTAGGCATATATATATATATATAGTAGATTTCAGTATGTTTGGCTAAAAGATAAGGACATTAAATATAATCACAAAGATCCATGATTCCTTAATATCAACTGTGCAGTCAGTGTTCACATTTTCTGATCTTACATGATTTCGACAGTTTATTGGAATAGGGATCCAAATAAGGTCCATAACTGCAATTGGTTAATGTGCTTGTTAAGTCTCTTTAATCTATAGGTTCTTTTCTTTATTCTCTTCTTCTTCTTCTTCTTCTCCTCCTATTTTAAAAATATATATATTTGCCGAGACCGGTTTGGCTCAATGGATAGAGCGTCGGCTTGGGGACTGAAGGGACCCGGGTTCGATTCCGGTCAAGGGCATGTACCTTGGTTGCGGGCACATCCCCAGTAGGGGGTGTGCAAGAGGCAGCTGATCGATGACTCTCTCTCATCGATGTTTCTAGCTTTCTATCTCTCTCCCTTCCTCTCTGTACAAAATCAATAAAATATATTTTAAAAAAATAAAAATAAAAAAATATATATTTTATTGATTTTTTACAGAGAGGAAGAGAGAGGGATAGAGTTAGAAACACCGACGAGAGAGAATCATTGGGCCTCTTGCACACTTCCTACTGGGGATGTGCCCGCAACCAATGTACACGCCCTTGACTGGAATCGAACCTGGGACCTTTCAGTCCGCAGGTCGATGCTCTATCCACTGAGCCATGGGGGGAGAGGGGGCTGGAAGGCAAGGAGGGAGCAAGTGCGTGCAGGAGGCAAGCAATCGATGTCTGTTTTTCCCTCAACCGATGTCTGTTTTTGCACTCTTAAGAGATCAATGCAAAAATGTCCTCGGGTGATTAAAAAACAAACTATGAGAAAACAAAGAAAAGAGAGAAACCAGTCTATGATAGGGGAGTGAGATAGCCTGCAGCAGGAAGCGGGATGGGAGGAGAGAGCTCTTGTGTGACTAGAGATAGAGCAGTAGTGGTCTCTGCCGCTTTCTCCTCCCAAACTCTATGTGCAGCCAGCCTTGCAGTTAACTCCCTTTACCCCGAGGTAATTTGTTTCCAGTCCTTGTAGCCAAAACTGAAACACGAGTCAGTATGTTTTTAAAATATAAAGGAAACGATTCAAAATATATCAAAAGGTTACAAGGTGAAGTAAGTCAAATCAGAGGTTTTGGTAGTGTACCACTGTCCTCCCCACATATGAAAATTGTTTATATTAATCCAAGGAAGGTAGAGGGAGGGGGTAGGTCTCGCTAGGGAGATTATTCTAGTCTGGCTGCATCTTGCAATCACCTGGGAAGCTTAACAATTCTTGCCCTTCACGCCATCCCTCTTTGCCCCCCTTCCCCGCCCCCAGTTTTGGGTGAAAGCTTTATCTGCCCCCAGAAGGTGTGGAGGTGTGGTCAGGGTTGAGAAACCCCCAATCTAGAGACTGCATGGTACAACAGTCTGGACTCAGAAGTGAAAACTGAATGTTTTCTTTGTGAATCTTAGTTCCAGTTAGTTGAGTATCTTAAGGTATTTTTCCCCCTGAAGCTAGCCCTGATCTGAGGATTGGGTGTCTTTAAAGGAAAACAATGTGCTAGTTGGTGAATGGCTTGAGGGAGTTGTATGTGCACTCTCAGCCTTCACTACTTTCGGGGTAACTACCCATTGCGAAGTAGTACTTGAAAGCACCAATGCCACTCACTCCCTCTTGTTTAATTGTAGTTCTTTTTTATTTTATTTAAAAATATATTTTATTGACTTTTTTTTTTTTTTTAGAGAGAGAGGAAGGGAGATGGATAGAGAGAAACATCGATGAGAAAAAAACATCAATCAGCTGCCTACTGCACACCTCCTGCTGGGGGTGTGCCCGCAACCACGGTACATGCCTTTGACTGGAATCGAACCTGGGACCCCTCCGTCCGCAAGCCGACGCTCTATCCACTGAGCCAAACCGGCCAGGGCTATTCTCTTATTATAACAAGTTCATAAGCTACAGGCAGAAGACAGCTGTTTAAACAACTTCACGTTGTTGAAAGCATACACGATTTAGTGCTCAGTCTTAAAAGTCTTTTTTTCAAATGAACCCAGTGAGAAGTCACGCACCTATTTTTTTTTTTTACTTTTTAACACAATAAACGATTTCTCTTCCACTACTTTACAGCTACCGGCTGAGGAAAGAGTGGCTTCCATGGAACAGCCTCGAGGCAGCCGCGAGGAAGAGGAGGCTGCACAGCGGCCCTGTCCGAACGCGGTCGCTTCCCGTTCTCGAACCCGGGCGGACGCGGGCTCCGAGGGCTCCCCAGGACGTTCCCTGAGCCCCAGGGGACCCTCCAGGGAACCTGTGCGCCCCACGCCTTCCGGACTCAAGTCTCACTCTTCCTATCCACAAAGTGTAGCAGCCACTTAAAGTCCCAGAGATGACCCCAGAACCAAACCCGGTCTGTGCCGTTAACGTGAGGCCTGGCTACCCCGGGGGTCGGCATGACTTTTTTTTTTTTTTAACAGCCAACATGAGGGGAGGGGAGGGAATAAACGTCGTGCAACTACCACATCTGAGGTAATATTTACATTTGAAAACCTGGGCAGGGAAGCACTGAAGGCATTGCGGCTGGGCCACCTGCCCTTCACTTGCCTGAAGCCGCACCTCCTCTACCTCGCGGTCCTCTCCCGCCGCCCGCTCCGCCGCTCGCATCCCTGAGGCGGAGACCCGCCCTCAGCGCCTGTCCCTCCGCCGGTGGCGCCGCCTCCGCTCTTAGCCACGCCCCCTACCCCGTACGTGGCGCCGCCTCCGCTCTTAGCCACGCCCTTTACTCCATACGTGGCCCCGCCCCTGCTCTGCGCCACGCCCCCGCCTCTCCGTACGCAAACATGGCGCCGCCCTGCTCGGAGCCACGCCCCCTACCTTTCCGTACAGAACATGGCGCCTCCCCCATTGGGCTTAAGCCTCCAGGTTAAGACCTGCCTCCCCCTTCCCGACGCAGAGGAGCGACTGCGCTGGCCGCTACTCGGCGGGGAGGACGGCCCGCTTCGCGGCGAGGGATGTGGCCTTGGAGGGGCAGAGGCTGAACCGCCCCGCCCGCCCGCCGCGCATCTCTCCCCTCCTCCGCGGCCGGGGCGCCGGCCCAGCCAGACTCCCCGCCCCGGAGGCAGGCAGCGAGGAAACCTCCATCTCCGCCGCAGGTGAGGGCAGCGGGCGCGGAGGCTGGAAGCACGAGTTGGAAATGACAGGCACTTCCTCGCCTTCCCCCGTCGTCGGGTCCCGGGGATGGCGGGTGGGGGCGAGGGAGAGGCAGGGACCCCTCGAGGCCGTCCTCCCGGCGCGCCCCGCTTCCAGCCATCGCCGGTCCCCAGCCGGGCCACTCCCTCGCCGGCCCAAACTGTTGTTGACAAAGGCATCTGGGAGTGCGTGGCACCGAGTGCCCCGGGAAGGAAGTGGTTCCCGGCGTCGGTGGACCGAGCCCCTGTGTATTTTGCTGCAAGAAAGACCCTTTCTGCTGGGGAGTCTCTGGTGTCCAGCGTGGGCCCGGGGTGAAGCTCAGATAGACGGTCTGCACGGCAAGAGCGAGGACCCTCCTCCCCTCGGCTCCCTTTTTAGGCTTAGCAGGCATTGGGGAATGGTGAGGGAAGGAGCACACTGTAAGTAAATAGTTCAATGCATCCTCTAGCCCTGTGACTGTAGTTGCCATCCATGGGAAGCCATCTGTTATGCACGTTCTGTCGTTTAAACTCTCCCCCCTACAGAAGAGGCATAGGTGAGCTGCATTTTACAGATGAGGAAACTGGAGTTCCACGGCTAGTAAAGAGCCAGAATGGGGACCCGTGTGTGCCTGAGACCAACGCCCACCCCTCCCACAGACACTGACGTCACAGAGATGACACAGCTATCAACAGAGCCTTAGTGGGTATCTGTTTGGGGCATAGACGTATGGAGCATAGTGTGGGGACTGTGATGGGTCTTGGCCCTTAAGAAGTTAAAAATCTAGGTGAAAAGTATTTTTTTTTTTTTAAAGAAAACTAGCAGTTTTACAATGTGGCCCCAGCCCGTCTTTTTACTTTCATCACCTGCCTCTTATTCCATTTATTTATGTGCCTCCTCTTGTGCTCTTCCTCACTCCACTTTTTTTTTTTTTTAATTGTATGAAATCTTACTCTTTTCAAAAGACCAGCTCAAATGTCCCCTTTTCTGGTTAATACCAATCTCCTTCCAGGCAAAATTAGTTTCTCCCTCTGTGCTATTTCCTTAGTGATTTCATAATGCCATTATGGCTTAAGTTTCGCCATATTTCCTTGTAAGACTATCCGTTTCTCCTTCTGAACCATTTCCGTTTCTCCTTCTGAACCATTTCCATTCTGGAAATGCTTAGAAATGCTTTCCGTCTTTCTGTTACTATTTAAATAAGCATATTTTTTGAATTGGATTTAAGGCAACAATGAATGCCACATGTCCAGTAACCAGTCCTACAGGAATTCAGAGACAGGTGCAAGTACTGGTGAGGTTGGGGAAGGTCCTGGGAGGAGCCTAATCTTACAAGGATGGGTTAGTTTGGGTAGTTAAGTATCCTGCCTTTCCTCCTCAGAGCATAGAGTGAATGACTTCATCCTTCTTGAGCTCATTCCCAGCATGTGAAAGGGATAAAATTAGAAGTGTGTTTGTTTGTCCTTTCTCTTGGGATATGCTAGTAATGTTATCTCTCTGATCTTGGAGCATTTCCAGAGCCAAATAGGATTTAGGACAGAAAGGAGATGGGTGTCTGGGGTGAGATATTGGAAGGCAAAGGGGAACTGTTTGAAAGCCATGTAGATTATTCAGGACATGAGGGTGATCTGGCTGCAACGCCTGTCACCCCACCGATCGCCAGGATTGATCTGGCTGATCTGGCTGGTTAGGCAGGTGTCCCCATCCCTCGCCACTCCATCTGCCTTTCTCCCCGGGCTGTGCTCTTGGTGGAAGATGGCCTTCCCCACCAGAGGAGAGGACTAACTGTTCTTGGGTCAAGCTGCACTCTTCCACTAAAATCTCCAAACAAGCTTTCAAGGTTCATTTGTAGAGGATAGTCCAGCTTCCAAGACCCCAGACACATCCAAATGAGGTGCTGCATGTGGCATCCTGCCATTCAAGAACAGAAAGAAAGAGCCAAAACCTGTTTGGCTCAGTGGATAGAGCACCTGCCTGTGGTCTGAAGGACCCCGGGTTCAATTCCTGTCAAGAGCATGTATCTTGGTTGTGGGTACATCTCCAGAAGGGGGTGTGCAGGAGGCAGCTGATCGGTGTTTCTAACTCTCTATCCCTCTCTCTTCCTCTCTGTAGAAAATCAATAAAATATTTAAAAAAAAAGAAAAGAGCCGAAACCGGTTTGGCTCAGTGGTAGAGCATCGGTCTGCAGACTGAAAGGTCCAGGGTTTGATTCCGGTCAAGGGCATGTACGTTGGTTGCAGGCACATCCCTGGTGGGGGGTGTGCAGGAGGCAGCTGGTTGATGTTTCTCTCTCTATCTCTCTCCTTTCCTTTCTGTAAAAAGATCAATTAAAAATATTAAAATATTAAAAAAAAGAAAGAAGGAGTCTTCATATGAATAATACAGGCCTGAAAATGTAAATTCCAGTAAATGCATCTTATTTAATGGCGATATCTAACATTTCAGGTAATTATAGTGAGTGAGTCTTCTCGGATGTGCAGAAAAGCATCTACCAGACCCCCCACAAGCCGTTGACATTTCTTCTGATCTCTGGATTATCTTCCAGGTGTGTAATAAAGTCTAATTAGTGCTCATGAAAATGCTTTGTGATCTTCAAATGCTAATAATACAAAGATTGATTATTTTCAGTAGTGTAAATTGCAGGAATGGAACGTTATATCTTTCTCCTCCCTCCACTGGAAATACCTTAGGAATAGAGAACTCTAAACCGAGGGTGGGGTGGGGGTGGAGATGGGGGATGAAACCAACGTGACAAAAACTTACACAGTAATTAAGAGGTTATTATTCCAGGCCTTTATTAACTGGCCCAAACTGACATGTTACTTCTATTCTAATCAGCAACTAAAAAAATTAAAACCGCACCCAGGGGCATATATCATGGTTATTTGCAACTTCCTGCTTTACTCATCATCCTTTTTTGCTGACTGGTAAGGAGTTGATAAAAGTATTTGCCCCACACATGCTTCTTAAATGCTTCATAAGCTCTACCTTCTGTTATTCAAGATGTCTCACTCACATAATGGCATCCGGGAACCAGCTCCTCAGCCCAGTGTGCTCACTTGGAAGCCTGATTAAACACTCACGTATCATTTCCAAAGTCTTCCTACCAGCACTCAAGAATGAAAGTAAAGAGTTGTAAGAATCGAATCACTCTTTGAACTAAAATGGAAGCAGGCAATGTATAGCCCTGTGTTCTAATGTTACATGGAACCCAGGAATGGGACCAAAATACTCAGATTTGTTACTCTCCATCTGAGATACAGGTCCATACATTTGATAAATAACAAAAGTGTACGTTTCGTCAATGGAGTAGAGTATGCTAACTGGGTAAGATCCTAGCAAGCCTATTTCTTTCACACGTGAGAAAGCTGAAGTCCAGAGAGATTAAACGGTTTGTCAGGAGTCACACTGCTAGTTACTGGACAGAGCTAGAACATTCTGCTCCTTTTTTTCTTCCCAGGTTCATTATCTTTTTTCTCTTTAGGAAAGTGAAGAAACTTAATTGAGAATGTCTGAAAACCTTGAAAAGTCCAATCTAAATGAAGCAGAAAAATCACATTCCAATGATTCTGAACAAGGCCTTGAAGAAGCCATGGACGGTTCCGAGGTCGCTTTACAGAAAAAAAAGTCAGGCTCTCCTAGCTCCCAGAGAGTGCAAAGACCTCACTGTAAGCAAATTTAACTTTGGTTAAAAGCAATATTTTCAGATGATATTGTTAGGAGGCCTCCTTGAGCTGGCTTCTCATAAAATGATAACTTTGCCACTAATTAGCATTTAAGAACAATAACAGTTTCTCCTTTCTCTTCTAACCGGCAGCCTAGTCACTTGTGGGTTTTCAATTGCATGAGAAATTAAAGTTTTAGAATAATGCCCAGAATGTTCCTGCCTTCCTGCAGCCTCAGTGATATCCCAGTTTCCCCAAAGTGCTCTGAAAAATAGGAGGTTGGGGTATAAATTGCAGTTTTAATTAAGAGAGTGTTTGAAAGTCTGAAGCGGGTTCCAACCAGGACTGTGCCTGTGCAGGTTAAAAAAATCCAGTAAGGGGGGAGGGGGGAATTAAAAGGGAGTGACTTCACCACACCCTAGGTTCATTGCCCCGGGGTTGATTCTCACAGGTTGAGGGAATTCAGATTGCTGAGCATTTGTGGTAAAATCACTTCAGATCCCTGGCAGGGAGCAGCCTCCTAAGATGAAAGGGTGGCAGTTACTGCAAAAATTCCCAGCAGTTGCCCCAACCCTTTTATTAAAAATACTTAAGTTTGTTGAAGTTAGTCCAAAAATGAAAGTTTTAAGAGGGGATGTCATAGTCTGAGAATGTCATTGCTGATGTTATCTCTTTAAAGTGTAGGTGATCAGTAATGCTTCATAGTTGGAAGGAGTACAAACGTTTTTGTGTTTCCAGGTAATTTATTAGCCAATATATTGTAGTACCCTTCTGGGGGTGGGGGTGGGGGGAAGCACTTACAAGCATTTCATGAACTTTTGTCCATGTGGCTTCAAGCTCCCTGGACACAGACTTCCCATCCCCTCCCCCCTCTCCCCCGGTACACTCCCCCCCCAAATCTTCCCCTCAGCCCTTCTGCTGAAGAACTTGGCCTTCACAAGGACAGGCTGCTTTGGAAGCTCTCTCTTCCCCAGAGTAGTGTGGAAGCCCGATCACATGACATCAATGATAGGAGCAGCTCCAGCCTTGTTTTGGCAGCATTTACCCTGTCTGCTCCCTGACCAAGGTCCACAGTGTATCAGGATTGACAGGTGGGCAGAAGCTCTGGTTCCTCTTTAAGGGGTATTGCCACCAAAGTAACCTGGGTGACATTTGTCCAAGCTGATCCTGTGAGGATGCAGGCCGCCGGCTTTCCTTTGGCCTCCCGGGGGCTCCCCGTGCCCGCTGATGCGGCTGTGGCTGCGGCTCATGTGGCCCCGAAGTTTCCAGGTTCCTCGGTCTGGACGGCGTGTCAGCAGCCAAGGTGGAAGTTAACATTGTATTATTATAGCAAGCACTGGTGGACCCTTTTTATTACTAGGAGAAGTTAGTGTGTTTCTGTTATTTCATAAATTTAAGATGATCATACATTTGGAGATTTTTGCAAAATCAAGGTTAAAGCAAAAGTTGGAAGCCCTGGTGACAATCTCTGGATTTCTTCCTTTCTTTCTTTTTCTTTCTTTCTTTTTTTTTTTTTTTTTTTTAATATTTTATTGATTTTTTTAGAGAGAGGAAGGGAGAGGGATAGAAAGTTAGAAACATTGATGAGAGAGAAACATCGATCAGCTGCCTCTTGCACACTCCTTACTGGGGATGTGCCTGCAACCAAGGTATATGCCCTTGACTGGAATAGAACCCGGGACCCTTCAGTCCGCAGGCTGATGCTCTATCCACTGAGCCAACCCGGTTTCGGCTCTGGATTTCTTTTTAAGAGATTAAGAACTCGGAGTTTAATAATTCCTGATGCATGATATTGATATACTACAGTGGACGTTCCATTTTCTGATGAATGGTAACAGAAAATACTGGCTTGAAGAAATTTAGTAATTGTATATATAGTATACTGAGTGCCTTCAAATTTTTTAAAAAATATATTTTATTGATTTTTTACAAAGAGGAGGAGAGAGGGATAGAGAGATAGAAACGTCGATGAGAGAACCATCGACCAGCTGCCTCTTGCACACCCCCTACCAGGGATGTGCCCGCAACCAATGTACATGCCCTTGACCGGAATCGAACCTGGGACTTTTCAGTCCGCAGACCGATGCTCTATCACTGAGCCAAACCAATTTCGGCTGCCTTCAAATTTTTAATCAACTGTATTGAGGCATAATTTATACTACATAGTAAAATTCACCAATGTTGTGTGCAGATTGGTGACTTTTGACCAACACATTTTCAGTTGTGTCTCTACCACCACAATCATGAGCTGCTAGAACATTTCCCTCACCTCCCCAAATTTTCACAGAAATCTTACTCTTCCTCCACCGTCTCTGGGCAACCTCTGATCTGCTTTCCATCACTATAAATTTGCCCCCCCCCCCCTTTTTTTTTTTAATCCTCACCCAAAAATATGTGGGTTTTTAACAATTGATTTTAGAAGAAGGAGAAGAGAGAGACAGAAAGAAACAATGTGAGAGAGAAACATCAATTGGTTGCCTCCTGTAATTAAGACCAGGGATCAAACCCATGACCTTTTGGTGTATGGGACAACGTTCTTACTGACTGAGCCACACCAGCCAGGGCGAATTGTTTTTTACACATACTATGCTATCTAATTGTGCCAGCACCATTTGACCAAAACTTAATTTTGCCTTATTAACCATATATACACTTACTGTATGTGTATGCTGTATTAGCCTATTTCTGGATCTTCTCTCTTAGTTGATCTATAGATCTATCCTCGTACCAAGAACACCCTGTCTTGATTATTGTAGCTTTACATGGTATTGAAATCAGTTAGTGTGAGTCCTCCAACTTTATTCTTTTTTCATTTTCAAAATGACTTTCGCTTTTATAGGTCTGGTGCATTTTTATATAAATTTAAAAATCAGTTTGGCAGTTTTAACCAAAAAAATCTTGCTGGGACTTTGACTGGGGTTGCATTTTATCAATACATCAATTTGGCAAAAATTGAGATCTTGATAATATTGAGAATTTCTGTCTGGGCTTTGATTTTGATATTTATTCTATTTTTTAATATTAAGGAAGCAATTTATTATTTTTATTAAGATTTTTCTGGAAATGCTTAGAATTTTGTTCCATTTTTCCAACTTCCCCTTATGTGACCAAATAAAAATTTTTACCAGACCAGCTCTTGGATTTAGTTCCCTTTTTCTGATGAGCAAAAGATAAAAGTAAGAGGAAGGAAAATTACTTTTCACCAACTTAAAAACTTTGTAACTATTAAACCCCTTGTAAACCAGTGACATTATTGACCTCTTTTTAAGGCCAGATCCTATTAGATGACATAAAATTAATATTGTCATCTTCTAGGCCATTGCTTTTCAAACTATGATTTCATGAATATCAGCTGGAGACGTGTGAGAAATGCAGATTCTCTGGCTCTACCCCAGACCAGCTCAATCAGAACTCGGGAGGAGGGCCCAGCAATCTGTTTTCACAAACATTACCCTTCCCCATCCCAATTCTGTTATAGGCTAAAGAACTGCTATCATGGACTTTATTTTGAAAACAGCTTTATTGATATACAAAAAAATCCATGTATTTATCAGAATTATCCAATGTTCCTTGGCTCAGGACAAGTGAGATTTCAGGGAGATAAATCTCAAGTTTTATCAAAGGAGAGAGAGAGACGGAGTCCAGTTATTGCAGCTGTTGATACGGAAGTGAAATCTACAGGACTGGGATATCAGGGAAGCTGGATGGGAGAAATCAGAGGCTTCATTCTACAAAGTTCTTGCATCACACACCCTCTGATTTCTTCATGGATCAGTTTTAGAACTCATGTAGGGTTTTAGCAATGTTTAAACAGCACCTGGCACCTAACGTGCTTGCCTCTGTTTTAATTTGGGGAGATCATCCTCGGGCAGTGTTATCGGTGCAGCAAAATGCAAACTGCTCATGGGAACAGAACAGGAAATCTTAAATCTGGCGTCTCTCGTTTGCCATTTAGGATTGATAGTCTGTAAAAGTTTTTCTGTCTCAGTTCATTGTAATAATTTCTCATTGACCAGTCTTAGTAAAACAAAACATGTTTTGAGCCTCATAAACGACGTCTGCTTTTAGGACTCTAGATTTTTAAAAAATATATATATTTTATTGATTTTTTATACAGAGAGGAAGAGAGAGATGGAGAGTTAGAAACATCGATGAGAGAGAATCATCGATCAGCTGCCTCTTGCACACCCCCTACTGGGGATGCGCCCGCAACCAAGGTACATGCCCTTGACCGGAATCGAACCCGGGACCTTTCAGTCCCCAAGCTGACGCTCTATCTGAGCCAAACCGGTTTTGGCAGGACTCTAGATTTAAAAAATAATAATATTAATATAGGTTTGTTGTTTGAAGTTGCCAGAATATTTTCATAAGTAAAGACATCACCAGAAGTTATTAACTGGTCCCAGAACCACTTCCTTCTCCTTGCTTTAATAGAAATTCTAATCTAGAGAAGCAAATCTCTTACGCTGGGTGTTTTGTTACAGCCAGTCCTCCTCGCTTTGTGACAGTAGAAGAGCTTGTGGAGACAGCAAAAGGAGTCACTAACATGGCTCTGGCCCATGAAATCGTAGTCAATGGAGACTTCCAGATTAAACCTGTTGAATTACCGGAAGATAGGTAAGGTGGTTACTGAGTTACTTGTTCAGTAGAATACTGTCATTTCCCAGTTCTGGGAATGTCTTCTTCAGGTGACGTCACTATATTCAAATACACCTCCCCTTCTGTACGTTTCTAAAAAAATACTCCTCTGCCAGGAATTACTAGAGTTTGAAAGTGGATCGAAGGACCATTGACCCTTCAAAAATGTAAACAAAAATCTTGCGTGTTCACTTCTCCCTTCTCCATAGGACTTAGCTGCTTCTTACTGTGTTCTCATTGCAGATTCTCTTCTCTGTTGCGTTCATTTCTCCTAATATCACATTGCACTGTAGCTGTTGGTTCACTTGTGTTTCTTACCGGGTTGTAAACTCTATATCAGGGGTGGGGAACCTGTTTTCTGCCCAGGGCCACTTGGGTATTTATAACATTGTTTGAGAGCCATTCAAAACTATCAACTAAAAAATGAGCCTCCTATATTTGGTCAAACCTTTAATTAATCCACCCTAGTGCCTGGCCAGGGCCAGCCCACGTGATTTTGTGGGCCTTCTCTGGCCCAGCAGGCCGGATGTTCCCCACCCCTGCTCTACAGACAAGAACCAGACATTGTTCTCTGTGTCCCTTGCACCCGGGAAATACCATGTTGGATCTGATACTCTGTTGATTGTAAGGTGCACCTTTTAAGATGTATGGTATCAAGAAAGAAAAATCATCGGCCATTATAATCGTGAAAGTGCCATGGGAAGAAGAGAGGAGGAGGAATGGCTGCTAGGTTGGCAAGCTCTAGTGTCTCCCGCATTTAAATACGACTTTTCAGACATTTCTTATGTGTTTTCAAAGATAGTACTTTTTCACATAAATAATGCAGAATTACTTGTTTTGCTCTAGTAGTATAACTACAAGTTTTATTTATTTATTAATCCTCACACAAGGATATTTTTCCATTGATTTATTTATTTTTTAAATATATTTTATTGAGTTTTTACAGAGAGGAAGAGAGAGAGGGATAGAAAGCTAGAAACATCGATGAGAGAGAAACATGGATCAGCTGCCTCTTGCACACCCCCTACTGGGGATGTGCCTGCAACCAAGGTACATGCCCTTGACCAGAATTGAACCTGGGACCTTTCATTCCACAGGCCGACACTCTATCCACTGAGCCAAACTGGTTTCGGCTCCATTGATTTTTTTAGAGAGAGTAGAAGGGAAGGACGAAGGGGGGGGAGAGACAGAGAAAGAGATAAAAAGACAGAGACATCGATATGAGGGAGACACATCTATTATTTGCCTCCCACATGTGCCCTGGTCAGGGCCTGGGATCAAACCTACAACCCAGATAAGTGTCCTTGACTGACAACCAAACCTTCAACCCATCAGTGTGTGGGCTGATGCTCTAACCACTGACACACACTGGCTGGGCTATCATTACTGGTTTTAATGAAGTGTCATAAGATGTTATAGTTTGGTACCTCTAAAGCAGTTGTTTCATATATCACATGGAAATAGGATATGTTTTAGGAAACAAAGTGCTTTAACCTCTGTATATATAAGCTGGATTGTTATTTTAAACTACTTAAACATAAATACTTTAGGAAACTTGATGGTATAAAAAAAACTAAAAATTAACAGCTCTAAACTTTCTAATATTCTTTTTACCATATGGCATTGTTAATGCTGTTAACTGGTATAATGCCATCTGTCAAATTAATTGAAAGTTATTCTTTCCAGTGAGGTATTTATTGAAATAAATCACTAACTAAAAATAAGACATGTGATTAGTTTAAGTTTGTGAATGTTTTCTTTATTTCAGTTTTAAAAAATTCTCACTCTACACCTGTAGAATTTGTGTTTTTGAAAGTGATTTGATAATAGCCAAAAGTAGAAATAACCCAAATGTCCCATCATCACATGAATTGATAAATATTATGTGGTATATCCATGTAATGGAATACTTTTCAGTCATAAAAAGGATCAAAGCACTGATCCTTCACATAAATCTTCCCCTTCCTCCACCATCTCTTGGCATCCATGTTATATGGATGACAATGCTTAAAAGCATTTTGCCAAGTAAAAGAATCCAGACCCATAGTCCTTATACTGTACAATTCCATTTACATGAAAATTTCAGAGAAGTAAAATCTATAGAGACAGAAAGTAGATTAGTGATTGCTTGGGGTGGGGTGGACCTGGGCACTGGCTCCTAATGTTTGATCCAATTTTCCTTCCTGAATAAGTTTTTTTTCCCCTTCCTATCAGTTCTAAAATTGTAATACCAGAGAAGAGGGACCCAATTCCAATCACAGCTCCTAAGAGTGAGGCCTTGGGAGTGGGTCTGAAATTGGGATAGACGTTTGCTGATCTTGTGTAGGTCCAGTGAGTCAAAGCAGGATCTTGGATGGGCCCCAGGAGGCTGAAGTCATATGAAAGCAGGTACTCTCTTGTAAGCGGGTATCTTATGGCCACCTGCCCAGCTTCTAGTTTCTGGAGATATGTCGTATTCAACGAGGTCAAGGGTAGGGAGCAGGGTGGCCAAGCCCAGTGGCTTGTACTCTGGGAATGCCTTCCGGCATCTTTGGAACCTGGCACACAACTTGGGCACGAGTGGTCTTCCCGAAGTGATAGAAATGTGGATTGAGTACTTTTGGCTTAAAAACATTTCTATGGTTGCACAACTTGATGAATTCACTAAAAATCTTTGAATGGTATGCTTAAAATAGGTGAATTTTATAGTATGAAATCATAGTTCAAAAAGGCTGTTTTAGTTTTTCAATGTGATTTGAGCTCAAACATTTTATTTGTTTTTGCTTTCTCCCCTCATTTGCCTCCAGTTTGGAGAAGAAAGTAAAGGAGATTGTACACAAAGCTTTTTGGGATTGCTTGAGTGTCCAGCTAAGTGAAGACCCCCCAACCTATGACCATGCCATTAAACTTCTCGGTGAGATCAAAGAGGTAAGGTGAAGAGCAAATTGTGGTGCTTTTCTGATGTGTTAGGAATATTTAACTTCTCTGTGTTACTGTGCCAGAAGACTAACGGAAGTAAGGATGAAGTTAAATTACTTGCCGAAATGTGGATTGAGTACTTTTGGCTTAATGCCCTTTTTAAAATTTCAAACAAGCTATGATGACTTGAAAGCATTCCTTTGTAGACAAAGAAAAGGTTAATATTTAAAAAAAAAAAACACAATTAGAGAAAATATATTTTATGAAATATAGATGATTTATAAAAATTTTAATAGGTGTGGACACGTTCAATTTATAGTGGCCAAAAAGTGATTCAGCCTGAGGAATAGAGGAGGCATTAGTGAAAGGTAGGGCTGTTTTTGTGATACCTCTAACAGTAGTATCAAAGAAGAAATGTTTCTGTGGAAATTGCCATCTGTGGTTGGGTCATAGGCTTGTGTTAATGTGTTTTACTTTTCTCACTTCTACTTATATTCTATCCAGTTGAGCTCTTCCTAGAATTTAAATGGAAACTTAAATAGCTAGTTTAAATGACTTGTAAACATATTTTTCTGTAGATTTGTTGAATGAGGGGTTAAAATATATGCAACATTATAGTAACAGTTAGTAAGTCCTCTTTCGGGTAGGTGTAAATCCCTTTATCTACACTAATAAAAGAGTAACATGCTAATTGACCATATCTTCATGACCCCCCCCCCCCCACCAGCCAATCTGGAGTGAGTATGCAAATTAAACCAACAAAGATGGTGTGTTAATTTGCATATGCAGGTGCTTAGGGGCCAGGGGCAAGGGGAGACACTTGTGTCATCGCCATGGCGATGATGCAGGCATACTGCACCACCCCAGCCACTCTGGGCCTCTGGGCAGTGTGGGAAAGCAAAAAGGTGGCTCTGGCCTGGGGAAGGAAGGCCCATTCTTGCACGAACCTTCTTGTATCGGGCGTCTAGTATATAATAAAAAATGGTGTCTGACTAGGAAACTGCTTAAACGTGGCTGTACTCTTTTGCAGACTCTCTTATCTTTCTTGCTGCCTGGTCACACTAGACTGAGAAACCAGATTACAGAAGTCTTGGATTTGGATCTCATAATGCAGGAGGCAGAGAATGGGGCCCTTGACATTTGCAAGCTGGTTGAATTCATTATTGGCATGATGGGAACGCTGTGTGCACCTGCTCGAGATGAGGAAGTTAAGAAGCTAAAGGACATTAAGGAAATAGTGCCCCTTTTCAGGTATGGGAGTTGTGTTAATCACCTCAAGTGCACTAGGACACAGAACCTCTTTTCAAATTTAGACTTCCTCAAATAGAGATAACTCATGCATTTTCGTTGTTATTGTTATTAATCCTCACATAAGTATATTTTTCCGTTGATTTTTAGAGAGAGTGGAAGGGAGGGGAAGAGTCAGAAAGAGATAGAAACAGTGATGTGAGAGAGACACATAGATTGGTTGCCTCCCACACACACCTCAACCAGGGCCTGGGATCGAGCCTGCAACTGAGGTACATGCCCTTTACCAGAATTGAACCTGGAACCTTTCAGTCTGTGGGTCGATGCTCTATCCACTGACCTAACTGGCAAGGGCAAGTAACTCATGCATTTTTTTAAAAGAAATTTCAAAAGCAAACATTTTATAAAACATAGAAAGGTAGAAGGAAAAAAGTTCACCCATAACTTTACCATCAAAAGGCACAATCAGACTGATTTATATATTTTTTAGTTTTTTTTTTATCATAAATGTTTTTTTTTATTCCAAACCTACAGAAAAGTCACAAAAACAGTGTAATTTTCACTCAGATACCCTTTATGTAGATCCACCAGTTTTTAGCATTTTGTCAATTTGCTTTATTTTATCTTTTTAATCTTCACTCGAGGATATGTTTTTATTGATGAGAGAGAGGGAGCGAGAAACATCGATATAAGAGAGAAACCTTGATTAGTCGCCTCTTATACAAGCCCCCACTGGGGATGGAACTTGCAATCTAGGCACGTGCCCTGACCAAGAATTGAACCCACAACCTTTTTGGTGTACAGGATGATGCTCCAGCCAACTGAGCCACCCACCAGGCTCCCAGTTTGCTTTCTTTATATATACATGTGAGTATGTATGCACGTTTTTTTCTCTTGAACCTTGTGAGGGTTAATGGCAGACATTGGGCCATTTCACCCTTAAATATTTCAGCATCTCCTAAGAACGTAGACATTCTCCTACATAATCAAAACACAAACAAGACATTCAATAAATTTAACTTTAATATAATCCTATTAACTAACATATTTCATATGAACTTTCTTTGGTGTTTTGCATGTTTATATTTACATATGTATGATTATTATTAAAATTATATAATTGTTATGCTAATGCGGGCGAAGAATTGGCTGATGCTGCCTGAGACTTTGACTTTTGGTTAACTGCGTTAGCTGTGTGTTCCTGTGAACAGATACAGATGTTTTGTATCAAAATGGTCCTAGGCAACATTGCTTGTGGGAAGAGTGAACTCGGATTGGTGACTTGTGTCTGGACTGAAAGCACTGATAGTGAACTAAAAATACTGGATGGGACACCATACTTGGGACTTCCTTTGGTGAGGTAGCTTTTGCAATTGGATGTGCCCCTAAGTGAGGTCCCTGGAAGCTGTGCTGTGGGTTACCAAATGTTACACAATATTTTCTCACCTGAGGCTTTTGAGCTAGGTAGTTCCCACATGTCTGAGTTGCGTGCCTGTGGCTGGTACTGTAACTCCTGTTGAAGAGGAATGTTTGGAGCTGCCCTGTTGGCAAACTGTGTGAATACTAGTAAATGGTGCCAAGGCTGTGGCTTATGATAGTCTTTTTTTTTTTTTAATTATTATTATTATTTTTTTTATGATAGTCTTGTGAGTCTGAATATTCATTTGAACCTGAGGAGACCTAGTGGGTATTGCAGGCCTGACATTTTCTGTTAACATTATACCCTAATCATTTCACTTATTTCTTAAAAAATAATTCTTTAAAAGTATTACACATGTCCTCCTTTTTCCCCCATGACCCTCTCCAGCCCGCCCTTGCCCCAAGCCTTCAGCACCCTATTGTCTGTGTCCATGGGTTATGCATATATGCACACAAGGTCTTTGGTTGATTACCGCCCCCACTCTTCTCCTTTCCCCTCCCCCATCTTCTCTCTGAGATCCTGCACTCTGTTCCATGCTTCCATGTCTCTGGAAATTCAAAGCATCATTGAGATACTTTATACTCACATGGAGGTGTGAGAAATAATATAGTACACTTGATCCAGTTTTCCCTCAATGGTGACATTTTGTAAAATGTTGTATATCACAACCAGACTATTGACATGATACAATCTACTGCTCTCACTTAAGTTTCCTGTTTTACTTGTATGTATGTGTATATATATATATATATATATATATATATATTTGTGTTTGTGTATTTTTATATGATTTTATGATCTGTGTGAATTTGTGTATCTGCTACCACGTTCAAAATACTGAACAGTTTTAACACCATAAGGATCTCTTGCATTGCCCTTTTATAACCAACTTATATGATTTTTAAAAACTCCCTATAAGCATTTTCGATAGCTACAAAATATTCATTTGCATATAATTAAGGTGTGTTTTGTGTGTGTGTGTGTGTGTGTGTGAGAGAGAGAACATAGACAATTAGATTATGTATAATTATTTACTATTTAACCCAGCAACGAACATCTTTGTGCTCAAAACTTTTGCCTGTATTTTAGGTTATTTCTAAAGATAGGTTCTTAAGATGCCATGACTGTGTCAAGCCCGCCCATTGGGCACATTCGGAGAATGAAACAACAGTTCTGCCACCAGAACTAGAGATTAAATCATGCCCTGAAATAAGAGACACTGAGGTAGGAGGAGAGGAGAAAGGAGAGCCAATCTCCTTTCTTTCTTAGGAAAGTGCATTAACCTATGAGAGTAGCTTCTGGGCGATGAACTCTGTGCCCTTAACCTGGGATCTCGGGCTCCTTCCTTCCTCTGTGGCTGCTGCGAGGGCTGCCCCGAAGCCAAGGAATGCATCTGGTCTAGACAGACAGCGGGGAGAGCTGTTTGCTTGGGGGTAAGGGGTAAATGGGTGGGGACAGAAAGCAGCTTAAAAACCTGCAGTCTTTTCAAACTATTACTTAAGCTTTTGTGTTTTCTAAATGGGTTTTTCTTAACTCACTTTCTCGTGATTTTTCTAACTTTTCTTGTCACCCTTTCTGAGATGAAAAGACTGTCTCAGATCATCTCTTTTAGTGAAAACGATGTTTACTTTACACGTGTCCAGTTCTAAGTCCTTCGCTGTCTCTTCTCTTAGGGCAATTTTTTCTGTGTTGGACCTGATGAAAGTGGACATGGCAAACTTTGCTGTCAGCAGCATCAGGCCTCATCTCATGCAGCAGTCAGTTGAATATGAAAGGAAGAAGTTTCAAGAGCTTTTGGAGAAGCAGCCAAGTATGTTTAAATATTTTGGGATGTTCTTTTGTTGTCCTTTTTAAATTTTTATTGTAGTTTGTTGCATAACAATATTATTTTCAAAACAAAACTAAAATTTAGTATGAGAATAGTCTTATTTGAAGACAGAAAAGCATAGACGTTAGTACTTGAAAATAAAGTTTAATTGACAAGAGAAATATAAGTAGGATATAAAAATAGTAATTTGAGCCTTGGCCAGTGTGGCTCAGTTGGATGGAGTGTCGTCCTGTGCACCGAAAGATGGCATGTTTGATTTCTGGTTGTGGGTTTAATTCCCAGTCCAGGCACATATGGGAGGCAACTGAAGTTTCTCTCTCAAATCAATAAAAAACATACATCCTTTGTGTAAGAATAGAATAAATAAATAAATAAAAAGAATGGAAATTTAAAAGAATGAAGATCTTAAATAGATTTCTTATGATGACACCATTTTGAGATAAGTTTTATGCTTGGCCTTGATTGTAAAACATGACAGCCTGGCCAGCATGGCTCAGTGGTTTAGCATCGACCTATGAACCAGAAGGTCACAGTTCGATTCCCAGTCAGGCCATACGCCTTGGATTTTGGGCTGCGTCCCCAATGTAGGGCTTGCAGGAGGCAGCCAGTCAATGATTCTCTTTCATCATTGATGTTTCTCTCTCTCCCTCTTCCTCCCTCTACGAAATAGAAAATTAAATTAAATTAAAAATAAAACAAAACACGATAAACTTCTTGTGACTGTTGAATTCACTTTTCTCCTCCCTGTGAGGTACATCAAGAAATTTCACTTTGCTTCTGTTTCATATTCATAAAAATCTGCTTGCACACCCAGAGAAGTCTTACTTTTATGAACCTCTGAGACAGTCGGCAGGAAAACAGATGACTATAGAATCCAAAATTATGTTGCATTTTGAAGGTGCTTTGTGGGTCTCTGCATCCAAGCTGCTCTGGGTAAACTGCAGTCTTCAGATCCATTGTAAGACCAGTCCTGTTTAACCTCTAACTTTGCTGGCCACAAAGTGGAAGTGCCTGTCTCGGCATAGCTTGTGTAGCCTGACAAGAATAGTTCATTCAGCCCTGAGCTGTGGTTCATCCAGCCCAGAGAGAGAAGTTGGGATGGTGCTGGGCCAGGCGGAGAGGGACAGCAAAGTAGAAGTTTCAGACCAGAGGAAGACTGGCTGATGTTTATTCCGTCCCACGCTTGTGCCCAGGGTGCATGCGCATTACCAAGTATAACCCTCACACACTAAGCCCCTGAGGTGGGCTCTATGTTTTAACCTCATTTTACAGAAGTGGCCATAGTCTTGAGAGATTTTTGGCTAGAATTGATTGACCACACAGCTCACTTCCTCACCCAGGGCTGTACTGCCTCTCAGGAGAATGCAGGGTTGCAGTTGGACTGGCGGAAGAGACTAAGTGTGAGAGGCAGGCCGGCAGCCGGGACCCCGCGAAAGGCACGCTGCTGGCCAGAGTCTAGAACTTATTACTCATGGTGTAAAAGCCAAGGTTTCCCAATCCTGCTTGGCCAAGCAAGAGCGAAGCTCAGAACAAGAGCTCCATGTGATTCCTGTGTTGCAGAAGCAGAGGTTGTGTCCTCTTGCATCAACGAAAAGTGAACTCCAGCCCTGGCCTTGGCCGCCCACTGGTTTTCAGGCGGACTCCCTGGCAGAGCTGAAACCTATTCCAGGACCTGCCAGAGGGATTTCTTGCTCAGATAATGTGGCCAGAAGCCTCATTTTCTTCCTCTTGTGTCCTTCCTCGTCCCTGATGCATTACTCTACTTAGTTAAGGAGAGAGTGATAGTGGATGAAAGACAACTGAGGTCCCCCGACAGTGTTCCAGATGTTGCCTAATACACATCAAACGTGTGACAGTTCACCTCCCGCAAGGAAGTTGGGAAACCAGCTTGATCCGAGACTAAGATCTAGACAAGGACAGCCAGGGTGGGAGAGAAGAGAGCGGTTCCTTCACCATCGGTAGGTGCGAGGCCAGGCTGGGTGCCTTATAGGTCACGATCTGGTTTCATCCTCACCGCAGACTGTCGCGTGATGTACATTTCCTCAGTGTAGGAATCTGATGTTCAGAGAGATGATGACCTGGCTAAGATCACTCAGCCGGTTATTAGTGATACAGTGATTTGGACCAAGTTCTGTTTGATTCCAAAGTCCATTCCCTGTACTCTACCACACCTCAGGATGATCTTCCCAAAGGCCATTCCGAGAAGCAGCCCTCCTGATGGTTACAGTAATGCCCACAGCCTTGTTTTCACAGACTCCCTGGACTTTGTCACCCAGTGGCTGGGAGAAGCCGCAGATGACCTTATGAATCAGAAGCATAAAAATGCCCTGCCGGCGGGGGGAGGGGCCGCCGGCTCGGGGGACAGCCCCATGCCTAGCCCTGCGGCTGTCCAGAATTACGCGTACCTGAAGCTGCTGAAGTGGGACCACCTCCAGCAGCCTTTCCCCGAGGTAAGTGCTGCAGAGCAGGGTAACTGCTCATTTCTTTTTGTGCGGCCGAACTTTTAAAAACTAATCGTTTTTTGATGTTATAATTCATATTTCACATTTCCCCCTTTACGTTGTACAATTCAGTGTTTTTTGTTTTTGTTTTTTTTACAGAGTAATGTGACGTCATTCCTATCTTTTGTAGTTGTATTTTTCTGTTGTAAAATACACATTACAAGATTTATCAGTGTTAAGTGTATGGTTCAGTAATGCACCAGGGACTGTGCAGCCATCACCACCATTCATCTCCAGAACTTTTCCATCTTCACAGATCAAAACTGCACCCGTTATTTATTTTATTTTAAAATTTAAGTGCTTTTTTTTTTTCATTGACTTTAAAGAGAGAGAGGAACATGGATTTTGTTGTTCCACTTATGTATGCATTCACTGGTTGCCTCTTGTATGTGCCCTGCCTAGGGATCAAACCCACAACCTTGGTGTTTTGGGACATACTCTTCCCAGTTGAACTCCCTACCCAGGGCTGGGTGCCCTTTAAACAGGAACTCCTTCTTTCTTCCCTCTGCCCCTGGCACCACCCTTCTGTTTTGTGTTCCTGATTTTGACCCCTCTGGGTACCTCATCTGAGTGCAGTCAGACAGTTGTGTCTAGCTTGTTTCACTCAGCGTAATGTCTCCAGAGCTCATCCATGTTGTAGCATGTATCAGCATTTCTTTTGTTTATTCCTCTATCAGTTGATGAACATTTGGATTACATTTGGATTGTTTCCATTGTTTGGCTGTTGTGGATTGAGCAGCTGTGAACATTTGTGTACAGGGTTTTTTTGTGAACGTATGTTTTCAGTTCCCTTGGGTATCTCAAATGATTAGTTGCTGGGTCATGTGGTGACTCATGAGGGACTGCCAGTCTGGTTTCCAAAGTATCTGCTCGTTTTATGGTCCCATCAGCAGTGTCTGGGGCTTCCAACTTGTGCTGCTGAATGGCTATCCAGTTGTTACTCATCTTGATCCATCAGCAGCAATGATGTTGCCTGTTAGTTTTATCTAAGGAAACGTCTTCCCCTTCCATGCTGAGCAGTATTTTTTCTTTTTGTTTTTCACAATAAGTTCTTCTAACTGCAGGAGTCGTTTGAGGAGATGACTAGCAGGGATTTCCCCATTTTGTCTGGTTTGGTGTGTAGATTCCCCCTTTTTTGAGGGCACTCAGGCTTCTGATCTCTAGCCTCCGGCGCTGCTACTTCTCTAAATATCTTTATCTCTAAGTTCCTTATGGTTGTTTCTTGACATTGAAAGCCTAAGGTTTCTCTTGCCTCTGAGTTCCGTGTTTTGTGCCAGAGGAGGCTCTCAAGAGGGTGCTGAATCAGGAGCAGGGAGCGGGTTCTTTCTGAATAGTGGCTTGCTCTCTGCTGGAGGGCAGTTCTCAGCCTTAAAAAATAGCTGTGAAGAGTGTAGTGTATTCATCGGGGATAGATGATTACTTTTGGAATTGATTTTTGGGAATCTTTTGAGTCCTAAACTAACTATACTGCATTCAAAAGGGAGGCATCCAAGTAAGGACGCTGCTGTGTAGCAAAATGAAGCAAAAAAAAAAAAAAAGAGAGAGAGAGACAGAATTGGTTGACAATTTTGTTTAACAATTGAATCTCAATCTTCAAAACTCATTTTTATTTCTTGAGACAAATTCTGGGCTAAGACCCCAAATTTCTATTGTCTTGATTTGGTGTGTCAGCTTCTTATAGCAAGACTGGTCCTGAAAGTTTATTTGATTAACCTGTAAAAACTCAGGTCAGAAGTCCTATCTCCTCAGTCTTTCTTCTGCTCTTTCCCTCACTCCACATCGGGGACATTGCCCTGGGAGACCCAGGGTGTCTTTAACACAGGACACCGCCATGGAAACTTACCACTGACTGCTTTGATCGGCTGTTTTCTGCATACCCCCCACTGGGGATTGAACCCATTACCAACCTGCGTGTGCCCTTGACCAGAACCAAACTCGGGACCCTTCAGTCCATAGGCCGATGCTCTATCCAATGAGTCAAACCAGCTGGGCTATTTATTTTATTTAAAAGTGTATATTTGTATTATTGATTTCAAAGAGGAAGAGAGAGGGAGAGAGATAAAAACATTAATAATGAGAGAGACTCACTGATCAGCTGCCTCCTGCACACCCCACACTGGAGATGGAGCCCGTAATCCAGGCACCAGCCCCCTTCTCCCCCACCCCTCCAAACTGGAATTGAATAGTGACCTTCTGGCTTATAGGTTGATACTCAACCACTCAGCCATACCAGACAGGCATAATTTCTATTTATTGAGTGTTGTCTCTGTCAGCCACTTTAGATGCATGGACTCTTTTCGTCTTTAAAACAGTCTTGTGAGGTAGGACTCCTGGTACTGCGCAGGGCTGAGTTGAAAAAATTTGCATAAGTTTATGCTGCTATTAAATGACAGAGTCTGGCTCACACCCAACCTGTCTCGTGTTCTTTTTTTTTTTTTTTTTTTTTTTAATTTATTGATTTTTAACAGAGAGAAAGGGAGAGAGATAGAGAGCTAGAAACGTCGATGAGAGAAACATCGACCAGCTGCCTCTTGCACACCCCCTACCGGGGTTGCACCCGCAACCAATGCCCTCGACCGGAATCGAACCCGGGATCTTTCAGTCCGCAGACCGACGCTCTACTACTGAGCCAAACTGGCTTCGGCCTGTCTCGTGTTCTTAATGGGCGTGCTCTACTGCAACAAAGAAGGGGCTCCTAGTCTTAGCCCACGTGTGAACGGAAGGAGAGTTCACACATGATTTCTTTGTGGCTGTGAAATGACTATAAAATCGGAGGGGAACTTCAGAGGGCTGTGTGGGGGCTGTGGCCCCGCTGCCCTCTGCTGGCAGTTTACAGCTCAAGGGTGAATTCTGTTTCCGTTACAGACAGTGCTGATGGACCAGGCCCGCTTCCGAGAGCTGCAGCTCCAGCTGGAACACCTGACTGTCCTGGGGGCGGTGCTGCTGGTCACCTTCAGCATGGCCGCCTCAGACATTGCCAGCCAGGCCAACTTCGCCGAGAAACTCAAGATGATCGTGAAGATCCTGCTAACAGACATGCATCTGCCGTAAGAGGCGGAAAGCTGTGGAGAGGGCCTTTAATGGGTGGGGGGAGGCAGCGGGGAGGCAGAGAGCAGGCTGGACTGGGGTCTCCGAATGTAAGGCAGGATCTAGGCCACTTCCTAGGAATCGAGAGACCTTGCCCTCTAGCTTTCTTTACTCCAGCAGAATCTATCAGTCATATGGCCAAAGCTAGAATCACTCCATGTTAGAAAGGCTCTAGGATAGTGGCTTTCACATACTTCTGACCAGGACCCACAGTCAGAAATTAATTTTTTATTGTGACCTAGTACACACTTAGACACATCACATATGTAAATGAAATTTTTCAAAAACTGCAACCTAGCCAAACTATGTTTAATACACCCAGGTATTTCTATTCTATTCCATTAAAATATACTGTTGGCTGCCTGGCTGGTGTGGCTCAGTGGTTGAGCATTTACCCATGAACCAAGAAGTCACCAGTTTGATTCCCAGTCAGGATACATGCCTGGGTTAGTACGGGGCATACAAGAGGCAGCTGATTGTTTTTCATCTACGTTTCTATCTCTCTCAAAATCAATAAAAAATACTTTTGAAGTTTTATGCCCTTTGCACATTTATAGACATTTTGTGCTGAGTATCTGGGATTATTTTATCAACCGGCACTAATATTTTTATTGATTTCAGAGAGGAAGGGAGAGAGATAGAAACATCAATGATGAGAGAGAACCAATGATTGGCTGCCTCCTGCACACCCCTACCGGGGATCGAGCCCGCAACCTGGGCATGTGCCCTTCAGGCTGCAGGCCGAAACTCTATCCACTGAGCCAAACCAGCCAGAGCTAATCCAACTTTTTAAGGTCAGCTGTGTAACTGCTCTTACAGTAAAGTCAGATTAGGCCATTTATGTGGTTCACAGCATGTGGAAAATTTAGAATGGTTCTAAGTAAGCGAGGTCTCTCAAGATCCAATTGAGAAGATCCCTCCAGGAGAATGTCCCCAAAACCTTTTCATCCTTACAAAAGGGGGGTTTTACTGCTGAGTTTGCATGTGTTTGGTGCAGTGAGGGGCACATACCTATGTTGTAACTAGGGGTTCAGTAGGGCAGGAGGGTGTTTGCTGAGCTGAGGCCTAGCCTGGGGCCCTTGTGCAGGTCTAACCCTGAGCTGTCTCCCAGTCCCCCTCCAGTAACACTGCTCTGTCAGTTACTGGTGAGAGGGGCCCTGTTCCGCTTGTCCTTAGGAGTCCAGCCCCGCATGGCCACATTCACTGGCAGGCAGAGCTGGTGCCAGCAGTGAGTCCAGAGCTTGCACATTTGCTCACACTGATTCTGCCGTTCAAAGAATCTAGACCCAGAACAAAGGTGATTAATTGCCTTCTCACAGGATACCCGCCAGCAGACCAGCAGAGTGCCTCCCAGAACTCCCCGCTGCTGGGAGGGTGCCCAGCAGACATTGTAGGGACAACTGGGGCTCCAAGAAATCCAGATATTAATTTTAATAACCTTTAGATTTCTGTTTTACTCATTCTTTTAAAGCAGTTATACTCACGTCTTTTGAAAATGAAAAGGGAATAGGTGTAGTGAATGAAAAGTTTCCCACTTCTGTCCCATTGCTACCGAATTTCTGGTGTCTTGTGTATTGTTCCAGAGTCATTCAGGATAGTCTTAAGTCAGGCTTACTTCACCACACAGATGCTAGCAAGAAGTTGAGTTTTGAGTTGTTGGTCCTGATGTTATCTGAGTTCTTCCCTTCCCACTGACCTTTCTGGGGTTGAGAGGAAAGAGAGAGGAGGAGAGAGTCTGGAGAGGGGAGAGGTTATGGGCAGCGAAGAGAGTCACAGATGTTTCCTTTGAACACATCGGTGCACAAATGGGTCATATGACTTTATCAGGCGTGGGCAGATGTGCACCTTGTTTATAGCTTCTTTCTCCCCTGGCTTCTCCTTTCCCTTTTCCACTCAAGCTCCTTCCATCTGAAGGATGCCCTGACAACCATTGGTGAGAAAGTCTGCTTGGAGGTGAGCAGCTGCCTTTCTCTGTGCGGGTTCACCCCCTTTACCTCGGACAAGGAGACCGTGCTCAAGGGCCAGATCCAGGCTGTGGCCAGTCCTGACAATCCCATCCGCAGGATCATGGGTACGTGTTGGGGGAAGGCAGGAAGCAGGGCACATGCCATTAGGGTGACCCAAAGGTTTGGGCAAATGACCAGACAGCCATCACTGTTTTGAAGGCTTTGAGTTGGAAGTTACAGCCCTTGGTTCAAAAGCCAGCGTGGTTCAGTGGTTGAACGTGGCCCTTTGAATCAAGAAATCGCAGATCAATTCCCGGTCAGGGCACATGCCTGGGTTGTGGACTCAATCCCCAGTGTGGGGCGTGATTCTCTCTCATAATTCATCTTTCTCTCTCTTTCCCTTCCTTTATGAAATCAGTAAAAAGATATATTTTTTAAAAATCCTGCTCCAGCCGAAACTGGTTTGGCTCAATGGATAGAGCATTGGCCTGTGGACTGAAAGGTCCCAGGTTCGATTCCGGTCAAGGGCATGTAACTTGGTTGCAGGCACATCCTCAGTAGGGGTTGTGCAAGAGGCAGCTGATCGATGATTCTCTCCCATCGATGTTTCTAACTCTCTATCCATCTCTCTTCCTCTCTGTAAAAAAAATCAATAAAATATATTTAAAAATAATAATAATTAAAAAAAAAATATCCTCACTGGAGGATATATATATATATTTTTAAATCCTGCTCCAGCAAAACCTGAATGACTCATGGTTATTAGATTTCAGGTGAATAGAAGGGTGGACCAGTGTGGTGGATCTGCTTCTAATACTATGATTTTTTTTTTTATTCTTAGTAAAAGAATATATTTTTTTTACTTTTTTCATATTTATGAAAAAAGAGGTACGTGGATCAGTGGTTTTGAAAAATTATTTTGTCCCAGTCCTGCAATGGTCACAGTTTCACCTGTGCGTCACTCCGGAGCAGCCTCTTGAAGACACTGCCGTGCCCTCTGACCATCAAGATTAATGTTATTGAGAAGCAGGAAAGTGCCTGTAAATAGACCCTGGCTAACGGGCTGCTCCTCGTTCTGCCATCCTGGTTGTTTAGTAACAGCCAGTGGTAGACATGGAGGTAGCAACCCGCCCTCACAAAGGAATGACACTGGGATCTCCACTTCTGGGTGAGGCTTCCGGCTTTGGGACCTTAGAAAACCAAGCTACCTTTGGTGGTCAGTGAGCAGTGTCTGCGTGACTGGCTTCTGAAGGGCGTAAGTCACTCACTCCTGAGAGGGCTCTCCAGGGCAGGGTGTGGGCAGGTAGGGTGGAAAAGCCCGTTCAATATGAATGTCCCTCTTGCTTTTGTAATAAAATCTATAAGAACTATGGCTTGTACTCACCATTTTATTTTGGCCGATGAGGACACACAGGAGAGTGCAGAAGCATTGTAGAAGGGAATGGGCTAAAAAAGCATCAACGTAGGACAACTTTACAAATGCCACCAACTCCATGGCCTCCCGTTGTAGGCACTGAAGAAGGAAGTTCGTGCTTCTTTCGATGGGCTTAGTGGGAAAAGACAGATCACAAGCCATCAGTGCTGGAATCTTCTTTTCGTTTTTGAACTTGTAATTCCTGCTTTATTTTTCATCCCATTTTTGATGTGGTTTTCAACAATGGCTCATGTTGGTCGCAGTATGACTTGCTCCTCTGAGAGCAGAATCAGTTAATACTCTGATTTCCCAGGATTTATTCGTATGGTTGTTCTTGCTTTCCAAATGTATTTTGAGCATTTATAGGGGCCAGGGTTCATGCCAGAGACTGTGCTGGATGCTGGGGAGAGAATGAAGAACACAATAAGCACAGGTCCTACCTTCACGAAACTAACCATCTAGCAGGGGGAGAGGAAACAGTGCAAATGTGATGACTGTTCAGAAGTGCAAGGTGCTCTGGGTACCTGATCTGGGAGGTGGTCAGGAAAGACTTTCCTAAAAGTGATGTTTAAGTTAAAAACGGAAGCATAATCAGATGTTTGTAAAGTCACCCTGGACAAGAAACAACTAATTGCGTTCTTTTCTATCACAGATTGTCGAATCCTGACCTTCTTAGAAACCTACCTTGCCTCAGGCCATGAGAAGGCATTGCCCACAATACCTGGGGGATTGGGTCCAGTCCACAAAGAGCTGGAGGAAGTTGCTATTAAATTTGTTCGTCTGGTCAACTATAACAAGATGGTCTTCAGTCCCTATTATGATGCAGTCCTCAGTAAGATCCTTGTTAGATCCTAACACGTATGCTTCCAATAGCAGCAATATTATCTACTCCACTCCGAATACCTGTTCTTAACTCTAATATTGCTTTGGAAAATGGCTCTTTAGTATATTTCTATTTAATAGCACTGAATCCAAAAGGAAGAATATATTTATTGTGTGTCACTGTTGAAAAGACTTGTGGAAAAATGCACTGAATTCTATTTTGAGGGTTTGTATTTATAAATGCAAATTTATAAATTAAGAAAGCTTTTGTTATCTTGAGTTTCACAGGAAGCACTCAGCTTTGGAATGGTTGACTGCCATGTGTCTCCACCCCCACTCTATCATGACCGTAGCTGTTTCTCCCAGGAAGCTGGGACCTCTCTTCTGTTACCTGGGTACTTTTTCTTTTAGATGCCCAAGAATGAAAGAGAATAAGCCATGACCTTGTGTACACTTTTGCTCCTCTGGCACAGCCTTGAACCCCTTCTCCCTCCAGGTATTTTGTGTTAAAAGGCCATATATAGCCCCACCGGTGTGGTTCAGTGGTTAAGCATTGATCTATGAACCAAGAGGTCATGGTTCAGATTCCTGGTCAGGGCACATGCCCAGGTTGCAGGCTTGATCCTCAGTGTGGGGCATGTGTGCAGGAGGCAGCCAATCAATGATTCTCTCTCATCATTGATGTCCCTATCTCTCTTCCTCTCCTTTCCTCTCTGAAATCAATAAAAATACATTAAAAAATAAAGATAAAAGGGCTATAGTCTTACTATTTGCCCCTCCCCTCACCCTGACACTGACCCTATTTATTGCTTTTTCCCTGCCTGTTTCAGCCAAAGCCTCAGAACCCATTTGTTCTAGAGGAGAGTTAATTGATTTTAAAGACCTTATTCTTTTATACAAAACTAGAGGTTCAATGCATGAAAATTGTGCAAGGAGTTTGGCCCTCGCAGCACCGGGTTCATCCGGAAGGTCATCCGGCTGTCCAGTCTAATTACCATATTACCCTTTTATTATTATAGATTATTCCTGAGCCTGGATTATAGCAGTTATATGATTTATGGGAGTCTTCAGTGGAAGTTCTTTGATTCTTAAGCTTTGGAGAGTTAAGGAAAAAAATATGTATATTTAAAATATAGTAATATAAATGGAGATAAATGCCTGGAGTTTTCACTGAAAAATTCACTGTCATGCAATTAACTTGTATTGATTGAATTAGAATTTCATATAAAATAGTGTGAACTCACTACTGCTTCGATAAGAGAACCATAGAAAAATCCCTGGGTGTTGAGCAGTATTTTTTGAGGAACTTCAGTATCTTGTAACTGAAAGAGGAGTTTTGGTCTCATAGACTACCTGCTCTATTAAAAAATATAAAACGTGCATGTGTATTTCAGACAAAGACATTGTATTAGAAGCAGAGCCATGAAGTTATTGGAGTGGTCTCGCTGCCAGAAATAGTGCAAGGAATCCCTTTGTGAAAGGTAAGAAGGACAGAGATCCAGGTGGCAGTGGAGTAGGTAGAAGCTACATTCACCTCTTCCAAGGACCAAACGAATTACAACTAAAATAGAGAACAGTCATCGTGAATAAACAACTAAAGACTAACTAAAGAGAAGTCTTATAACCAAGGAATTACAGAAGCCACTTTGAAACTGGTGGGCAGAGATTTAAAAGGGTTGGCCCCACGCCAGCGGACAGCTGCTGAGGTACCAGCTGCCGGGGGGTGTAAGCCTAGAGCACTGACCAGGAATAGGAACTCTCCTAACATCTGGCTGTGAAAAGCAGTGAGGTTTCTGACCGCCAGGGAGAGCAATGTCCACTGAAGACCAAGCACCAACTTATTTATTTTAAATTATTTTTTAAAATATTTTTTATTGATTTGAGAGAAATATCGATTTGTTGTTCCACTTAGTTATGCATTCATTGGTTGCTTTTTGTGTGTGCCTTGACCCAGGATCAAACCTGCAACCTTGGCAAATCAGGACAATGCTCTAACCAACTGAGCTACATGGTAGGGCCACAGGCACCCTCTTCTTAAAGAGCCAAGAAATGTTAAAAGGCCTACTTTAAGAAGACTAAGAAGAGGAAGAGGAAAGAGGAAGAGTTAAAAAAATAAAATGACAGTAAATACAGGGCCAGGAAAATTCACTGAGTTTTGCCCTAGCTGGTTTTGCTCAGTGGATAGAGCATCGCCTGCAGACTGAAGGGTCCTGGGTTTGATTCCAATTAAAGGCACATGCCCAGGTTGTGGACTTTATCCCCAGTGGGGGGCATGCAGGAAGCAGCCGATCAATGATTCTCTCTCATCACTGATGTTTCTGTCTCTCTTCCCTTTGCTGAAATCAATAAAAATACATATAAAAAAAATGGATCCCTCATGTTTCCAGTTAGTACCAAAAAAGATCAGGGAGGACATGCAGCTAAGTATACGCACAGTAAATAACGTGACTCTTCTTGCAATGTTGATGGTATTGGCTGAATAACATAATGTAAGTAGCCGTTTTAAACAAATTCTGAATGAAAGCAGCAGCAGGAGGCAAGACTTTTTTTTTTTTTAGATCCTTTTATTGATTAAAGGATTGTTTTAAAATTTTAAACTACAAAACAGATTCCATACATTCTGCCATAAATAAAAACAAACAATAAGGCAGGACTCTACATAAGCAAATGGAGAACAACTGTTTTTCAGAAAAGTGTGATAAAATGCTTTATAATCATAAGCCATCCAGTTTTAAAATAAAACTATTGAAAACTCACAGTCTTCAAGCGGCACATACAAGACAGCCTTGAAGAGGGAACAAAATGTGGTTCTGCCATTTTGCACTGTTCTCAGTTCCATGTTGTAAAATTCATACAGGTTGGTTGGTTTTCTTTCTCAAGAACCAGATGATAGAGGCACCAATGACAATACAACTTTGTTTCCAAGAACCTTGTAACAAAGCATTGTCTCTTTTAAACATGTAACTTAGGAGGCAAAGAGGGAATCCTGGGTAAAAGTTTTCCTTTTAGAGGCAGGTTTTGAGCCGGTTTCACCGAATCCGCTTCTGCTGCCGCGCTCTGTAAATGTCATGAACAGGAGGGACGACGGCTCCCTTCTCCTCGTCGTCGTCTGAGTCCTCGTTGGGCCTCTTGACGGCCTTGGTGAGCACCGCGTTGCTTTCCACCGGGCCATTGCCTTCCACGGTGAGCTCTGGGGCGCCGCCCGTGATGAGCCTCACAGCTTCCTCAACGGCTGCGGACAAAACAGAAAGGGCTCGGGAAGATGCTGAAATCCACGCTGCTATGAAAGAGTGTGCATGTGCTGCTTTGGATACTTTATAGTTAATTTTATCCCCTACTATTAGCAAAGAGGGTATAGAACTACTAACACTAAACACTTAAGGGAACAGACAAAAGCTGCCAAGGTCAATAAAACTGTTTTCATAGGCCAAATCGAATAGTGCATGTTCACATGAATAGGAAAGATAAGGTTTTTGTGACAGGTTACTTAGTGAAATCAGAATATGAAGAAGTCTCTGTGCCAAGGTCACGCCTACGTTGCTTTGTACTTTTTCTGTAAGATGGCCAGCTGGTTTCAGAAACTTAAGTGGCAAAGATTGTCAATCTCCGCCTGCATAGGAGACGACCATGTGAATTCCACTCTAAGAAGTGGAGTTTTCATGACTTACTATTGGGTATCTTGCATCTTCGGAAAATTTCCATCAGTTCATCCACTTGTACAAAAGGACCCTATTTTGATATAAACAAATTTTATTTTTAGAAGTTTTGTTAAAAATATTTTTAAATTACAGTTGACATTCAATATTATATTAGTTTCAGGTGTAGAGCATATTGGTTAGACCCTTATATAATTTATGAGGTGATCCCCTGATAAGTCTAGTACCCATCAGGTACCATACATGGTTAAAAAAAATTTTTTTTTTAATTCTTAGTCTTATAAACAAATTTTATTGATTTTATAGAGAGAGAGGGAGAGAGAGAAAGAAACACTGATTTGTTGGTCCACTTATACATTCATTGTGTGTGCCCTGACCGGGGATCAAACCTGCATGCAACCTTGGCACATTGGGATGACGCTCTAACCAAATGAGCTACCTGGCCTGGGCCATCGATAAAATATTACTGACTATATTCCCTATGCTGCAATTTACATTCACATGACTATTTCATAACTGCCAACTTATACTTATTAATCCCTTCATCTTTTTCATCCAGTCTTCCAACCCCTTCCCATTTGGCGACCATCAGTTTGTTCTCTGTATAAGTCTGTTTTATTTGTTTGTTTTTTAGATCCCATAAATAAGTAAAATCGTATCTTATTTATCTTTCTGACTTATTTCACACTTAGCATAACACCCTCTAGGTCCATCTATATTGTTGCAAATCGGTATGATTTCATTCTTTTTTTTATGACCGAATGATATTGCATTGTATATATGTACTATATACTTTTCTACTATCTAACTGGACACTTAGGTTGTGTCCTTATCTTGGTTATTGTAAATAATGCTGCAGTGAACATAGGAATGCATGTATCTTTTCAAATTGGTGCTTTGGATTTCTTTGGGTAAATATTCAGAAGTAAAATTGCTGGGTCATTCGGTAGTTCTATTTTTAATTTTTTGAGGAACCTCCATACTGTTTTCCACAAGGACTGTATCAGTCTGCATTTCTACCAACAGTGTACAAGGGTTCCCTTTTCCCCACATTCTCACCAACACTTGTTTGTTGATTCATTGATGATAGCCATTCTGACAGGTGTGTGGTGATATCTCATTGTGTTGTGTTTTTTTTAAAATATATATTTTATTGCTTTTTTACAGAGAGGAAGGGAGAGGGATAGAGAGTCAGAAACATCGATGAGAGAGAAACATCTATTAGCTGTCACACACACACACACACACACACGCACACACACGCACACACACACACACTGGGGATGTGCCTGCAACCAAGGTACATACCCTTGACTAGAATCGAACCTGGGACCTTTCAGTCCGCAGTCCAACACTATATTCACAGAGCCAAACTGGTTTCGGCTCTTATTGTGGTTTTAATTTGCATTTCTCTGGTGATTAGTGATGTTGACAGAAATTTTAATCCCCAAAATCTGACAAGTTAAAAAAGCACTACTTTATATTTCCCATAATATCAGAGGAAAAACATACAGTTACTCTAACTCCCAGAGCAAGTATATGTCATGAAAATTGTGAACTAACCTGGAAACAGATCGGAGGAGGGAGAAGTTTCATTAAAACAACAGCTGCAGGTGGTACTGGGAATACTCCACCAGGTACCGGGTGTAAGCCTGGAGCTATAAGAGAAAGAAAAGCAAGAATCAGACGGGATGGAAGAACTCTGTATATTTAAGAGCTAAAGTAAGTAATTTTTACACAATGATGTTCTATGTCTATATGGCTTTTTTCTGGACATTTTAAAGTTGTGTTCAGGGCTTTACACATTTGAACAAACTCAAGAGGGTGAGACAGTGAAAGCCGCCTCGACCCCATTGCAGAATAAACTTAAATGACTTTGCATATGACAACTCAGGGTCTGAACTGAAGTCCATTTGCCAAAGACCATTTCTAAGCCTCACAAGTTATTTGTTCAGCAATCCTGTTTAAAGTCAGTTATTCAACAACATTTAATCATAAGGGGCCGGTTCAAATAGGATCTAGTGGAACTACTGTCCATTAGTAAGTATAAATAATACCAAATAACATCACTGAAGTAAGTTTCCAGCTGTACAGATAATCTGTACGCAGCAGCATTTCTGAAAGCTAAGTATCACTGCCAAACTGGGTTACTGGAATCTGGGTTTGAGTTTTTTGTTTGTTTTAAAGACAGGCTTAACATAGTTCAAAGATTACAGTCTAGTCACTTGTCATAGTGGCCCTAGTCTAATAGTGGACGTACAATGGAAAGGTCACATTTCTTCCCCCCAACACCTCTGGATTTAAACCAGTACTGGATCTAAAGTTATGGCTTACGTGCTAAATGTCGTGGCTGAAATGGAATCATCTGCTGAGTATCTGGTTTAGGGTATTCTGGTTTTCTATCCACTTCATCTTTCAGAACAGGCACTATAGAAGGAGCTACAACTGGGTCTGGAATTATAGCTGCTAGCTTAGCACGGGAGACATCCTGAAAATGCAGAACAGAAGAATCCTAAACCTGAAAAAGGGACTTACAGAATATAACTGCAATTCTACAATCTTGAGGATACATGGGATAATTGGGTAAAAGCCACAGAAAGGGAGAATGGAGAGGACTAAGCAAGAACTTGCTGATGGTAAAGATTGTTAAATTCTCAACAAGGAAAGCTAAAAGGCTCTAGAGATTTGGTGTTTTTTTTAACCTTACCAACCTGTTAAGAATCATTTAGGGGTAGGGAAAAATCAGGACATTTGTTAGATAGACACAGTCTTTTGTGGGTAAATATGTAAGACTGGACACCAAGTACATTGGGGTAATTGGAAGAAAATCTGCGATTTTAGGTACTTTCTGACACCTCCCTTCCACTGGAATTGAACCACATCCATTTAAGTGAAGAAGCTAGAGTATGTGAGGTCCTGCTTCATTAAAGCTAAAATAAAGTTTATCATTGCTTACACTAGTTAAGATTTTGTTAATGAAACAAAATATTCCCAATATACAATTATAGAAAGAAGGAACACTTAATGAGCAGCCATTATTTGTCAGATAATTCTGGCTCCTATTTCTTTTTTTTAATGAGGCAAATAGTAACATCTCCATTTTAGAGAAGGGACTAGAACTCCAAGAGGCTCTGGTATTTCCAAGGTCACCCAGCCAAGTAGTAGAGAGGACTGGGAGCACAGGCCTCTCTGACCTCACACCCATCAGTCTTCATCTGGCAGTGCCCACCAGGGCCAAGAACAACTCTCCAAAGGAAGCCTCCCGTTAGGCGATACCCCACTCCAGAGAAGTTCCTCTCCTACAGGCAACCTGTGTCACTCTAACTGTCTGGAATCAAGAGTCCTTTTGCCACCATCAAGGGATATACAAGCATTTCACCTCAAATTCTCACATGCAGTTGGAGGCAAATCTAAATGAGTGGGCCCACTGAGAATTACTCTTTTCTCACATTCCTCTCTAACATGTTACACACATAGAAACATATTAATCTTTACAAAATAAAAGAGTAGAAAGAGAAATATAAGATGGAAAATTCATATTCAAGACGTTCTACTTGGAAATAGCTCTTTATTTTCATTAACTTCCATAATTTCCATTTTCATCTTTGCAAAGTTGAGACTTTTTTTTTTTTTTTTAATAAATTCACACAGTCTAAAGCATATTCAGCTTTTCATTGAGAAACAAACTAGGAGGAGGACCTGCTCAGCTCTGGGCAGTAACCCCTTAGTTCAGAAAAGGAACTTGAGACTGGCACAGAACTGGAGCATCCAATAACCAAAAGGTGTGACACTTAATTATGTTATTTTTCTCAAATATTTCAACCCGGTTTGGACAGCAGACTAGTGAGGCCCAGGCCAAAAGAGGGCAGTGAGGAAATGGAGAATGATGGTCAGGCATATCCTAATACTGGTTGGAATAAAGGAACCAATCTTCCCTTTGAATTTTCACCTTGGTCTTTGCTAACATGACAGAGAAAAATCAAGAAATAATACAACAACGATGTTCTTAGCAAGCGCTATTCTGGGGCCGTGTAGACATTAATTTCCCCACATCAGGGCAGGCTCAGGTAGCCGGACTGTTTTATGACTCAGTGGTCTACACAGCGGAGTTCCATTTCTAGATAAGCGAATTTCCTCAAGGGCCCCGTGAAAGGATTGATGTTTCAAAGCTATAGATCCCTCAAGGAAACTTACTGATTTAAGAAACTAATATTTCTTCTTTTTTTTTTTTTTTTTTTAAATATATTTTATTGATTTTATACAGAGAGGAAGAGAGAGAGAGATAGAGAGTTAGAAACATCGATGAGAGGGAGTCATCGATCAGCTGCCTCCTGCACACCCCCTACTGGAGATGTGCCCGCAACCAAGGTACATGCCCTTGACCGGAATCGAACCCGGGACCTTTCAGTCCCCAAGCCGACGCTCTATCCACTGAGCCAAACCGGTTTCGGCTAATATTTCTTCTTTATACCTACAAATATGTAACATTTGATTTAAGAGCTGTCCAAATACATTCAGTTTTAAGAACTATTGAGGAAAAAGTATAATACCTAAGATGAAAGCCATATTTTCTTTTGTTTTTCTTTCCTCCCAACACCTCCATCTATCTGCCCATCAGACATAGGGCAATGACAATTTCAGGGAATGAAAGTATTTGTTAAATTTCATTTTGTTCAGTACTTTTTTTAAAAATCATCACCTGAGGATATGTTTATTGTTTTTAGAAGGAGAAAAAAGAAGACAGAGAAAGAAAAACATTGATGGGTTGTCTCCCGAAAACGCTCTGACTGGGGATCAAACCAGCAACCTAAGTATGTCCCCAGACTGGGAATTGAACCCACCACCTTCGGTGTACAAGATGACATCCAGCCATCCAGCCAGGACAGTACATTTGATATTCAGTGTTTCAGAGACCCAAGAAAATTCCCTGAACTTTTTTCTTATTTTCTGTAAGTCTATTCTAAAACTAGATTAATTTCTACTTCAGAATTTAGAGTGAGGTTTATCCATGAAGTGTTCTAAAACATTGGAAAAATAAGGACAGTACACACATCTTGAACCTAAGTACATACCTTATAACCAAGTGCTTTTAGTTCACTTGCAGAGCAAGGATATAAATCCATGAACTTGTATCTATCTACCAGTAAAGCTGTTTCTTTGCCTTCATACTCTTCCTTGAATGCTGTAAACCGTCTTTTCTCCACTTTGAGTATACTAGCTAGATCACCAATATTACTTTCAAAAGCTAGAAATCGGGCCCAGATTTCTCTGTAAGAAAATAAATAGAATCAATACTTAATTGTTCTGGGTTTGGGACAGGAAATCCATTTATTTAAAAAAAAAGCCTTAAGCTCCCCCTCTCCCTTTTAAAAGTCTCTTTTTTATTATAAAGATTTCCAAACTATAGAAAAATAGAATAGTGTAACAAATATATCATTACTTAATGACCTAGATTTAAACATTACTAATATTTTGCCATATTTGCTTTATCTTTTTTTATTTAAGTATTTGAAAGTAAATTATAGACATAATATTTCACCCTAAAAACTTCTATATTTAAGCTCTGTTGTGATTTTTTACTTATTTAGCATACCTTCCAATTCTTTGTGGTCAATACCACAGATATTTACCCTGGAAAAGGTAAACTCCAGGTGGAAGAGCTAAAAAAAAAGAATCTGATAGATTTCCAATTTCTCCTGAATAATGAATGTGGCTTCACCTTTTGTTGAGTGGCATGAATTACAACGTAGAATACACTTTTCATTCAATCTTATGAATAAAAATATAAAAGCTCTATTTTTCCCATGAATATGGATCACTGAGGATCAATTTATGCCTCACTACTCTTCTAACGGCCAAAATTAATTATCTGAGGCTCTCAGTGTCATTAAGCACCACTGTGTTAATACACCACATACCTATTATATATCAGGTATAAAACTACCACAAAAATCTGTCACTGGTAGATATTATTGTTACTCGATGGGAAAGTAAGGATTGGCAAGATTATGAGATCTGCCCAGGGTGTAGGTTAGCTAAGCTGGAATTTGAACCCAAGACTTCAAAGCCTTATTATTTCCACTATATCATTACTTTATATTCCTCTGTTTGGTAAAACTGATAGAGGTAAAACCATAAATCAGGGACATAATGTGTCAAACAAATGTTCAATCTATAAGAATCTTTGCTCTCAAGTAAGAAAGATAAAATTTCAGAACACGTCTCTAATTTGTTCAGATCAATTTCTAAGGATATAAACTAGAAAAATATATTAAAATAGTCAATAATAAATTGTCAAGGCTTCTCTCAAAACAATTCTGATCAGAATACAAACACTAAAAATGTATCTTTAAAATAAACAAAAAATTTTAAAAATTAAACAGGTATGAAAATATTGCAGGTAGGCATTTATCAATTAAGCTTTGAGAGAGATGGGAAATTTCTTTTGAAATTTATATTCAAAAAGCAAATTTCATTCCATAGATCACAATTCAAGTATTCAAGCCACATTAGGACCTGCCCAACAAGTTTTCACGATGGCTTACCCTGACTTTTCAGGAGGAAGGCTTCCAGATGTTAAAACGCGTTCAAACAAAACTCGGGTATTATTGTCCTCTAGGATAAAAGAGTTTTCAAATATTAAATTGAGTTTCACAATTCAGCAGTATATTTGCACATGCATTAACTATTATCACAACCAATTTTTAAAGATGAGGGAACTTGAGGTTCACAAAACTAAGGTAGTTGATCTGGTTCACTATTATTGAGTAACCGAGCTATAACTTGAAACCAGGTCTTTTAACCTCCAGTTCATCCATCCTTAGTATACTGCAGTTGTAATGTATAACTATCACAGGTCTGAACCTGGCACCATTTGCCTTTAAAAATAATGATAATTACATATCTGCTGATATTAGAAGTGTGACTGTTGACATTTTTAAATACAATGAGTGGGAAGGATGGCAAATTGAGATATAGTTGAGTTTCTTATTTTGCAACACCAGGACTCCTCTGTATTTAGGTTTAAATTCCTGTAGAGGTACAATAATATCTAGACTGGGAGACAAATAAGCGAACAGGAAATGAATTGAGAACGAGGAGAACATGCCCACTCTAGGTTCTCTTTTGCCCCCCCTTGGAAAGAAGGGCACACACTGGCCCCGGTTCCCAAGCTTCCCCAAAGCTTGTCTCTGCACGGTGCTGCCTGGGCCAGTTCCGGGGGGTGAGGGGAGGTGCCCACATCCCTTTCTCGTGCCCAGGGCGGCAGCAGTATTGGTGGTATCAATGGCGAGTGGCAAGTAAATCTTGCATTTTATTCTTTTTGCTGTGTTCCACACTTTGCTTTAGGCACACTTTTTACCATTCCATATAACTTTCCACTGCTTGTTATATTGTTCTCTGCCTGGAATAGCACATTTTCCTCTCTACCTGGCTAACAACTGCCTGTCCTTCACAACCCATCTTGTGGCCCCTTCTTTATGACAGGGGCTGGGTTGGCTGAATGTCATCCCGTGCACAAGAGGTTGCTGGCTCAGGCACATGCCTTGGTTATGGGCTCGATCCCCAGTAGGAAGCATGCAGGGGCAGCCGATGGATGTTTTTCTTTTATCAATGTTTCTTTCTCTCCCTCTCCTTTCTTTAGAAAATCAATAAAATAAAAGAGTAAAAATGGTGGAATTTAATATATTTTATTTAACCCAGTATACATAAATTATTATCATTTCCACATGGAATCAATGTGAAAAATCAAGATATGTTACGCCCTACCCCCACCATACTAACTCTTTGAAATCTGATATTTTACCCTTGCACCACATTTCATTTTGGCCTGACCACATTGCAAGTGCTCAAAACTCAGTAGTCTAAAATGGCTACCATAAGAGCACAGCATAGCTCTAGAACTAAATTATACTCTTCTCTCTCTGCCTCCGAAGTGCTTCACTCAGGGCTCTACTACAGAATTTAGCACTTTTTTCATGATTGCCACCATATCCTAAGTAGTTAACATTTATACATAGCATGCTTACCACACCCATTTAAAGTCAAAACTTCATTTAATCACCTCATATATGAAAGGTACTCTTACTATCACTGTTCTGCAGTTGAGAAACCCAAAACAAGTTCATACACCTAATCATGCTTCAATTAAGGACCAAATAATGATGGAATTATGTTTATACCTATGATTCCCCATGAGAATGCTCTGAGGGGAAGAATGGAGTTCTATTCACCTTTCTATTCTCAGGCCCTACTAACCAGAAGATACTGAATAAATAAATGATGGATAGATGAGTGGATGGATAAATGAGTGGAAGACTATCTAAAACACTGAGGCTGGAAGACAAAAATGTCTACATCAGATATCATCCTCAATTTTAGAATAGCAAATATTATACATACTAGTATCTATTCTAAAAAAATCAAGCAAAATAGTTAAAAATTAGGAACATTAATTTCATACAAGAAAATAAAAATTTAATTAAATGTTCCACTGTCTCACTTTTTGAAGTTAAGTCCTTTTCCAGAGTGTAGAATCACTCAGCTGAAATACAAAATCATATATAAGTTGTATTCTTTTCTACTATTTAGGTATATAGAATGTTATTATTTCCTGAAACTATCATTAAAATCATTGGTCAATACCTGTAATATCTAATTCTATAATCATTCACATGGCATATACTTGTATATTTCTTTCTTAAATCAATTTTTATATCATTTTTTTTGGTCAAATACTATCCTGGACTGTGGGTACTTGGACTAAATGAGATATACCTTAATACATGTACAGTATATATGAATACTCTAGCTCAGTGCCTGGTATAAGATAAAAACTCAACATTATTATTATTATTACAATAGAACAGGGAAATAAAAATAAAGATGCTAAATAAGCATCATGTTTGGTTTTGAAGTTGGTTCCCCAGGAGCCTCAAAGCATTTTACTTTACTACTTGGACACCGTTGAGTTTTGGTGGCTATAGTTTTTTGTCTGTCCTGTCCTATCACCGCTTGTCCCTTTCCCCACACGAGAGACATTTACCCAGAGCATCAGAGATGAGCACGGGCAACTCTGTCTCCAACACTAAATATACAGCTTTATCCTACTACTGATGGGGATTTACTGATGATGCATTCAAGACCATTCTGCAAAATCAAGACACCTACCATTTCTCAATAAATACAAATTCTTGGTTGACAGGCCACAAATATTTTCTGAGTGCTATCAAGTGCCTGATTCTGGTGTGATAACATGATTATAATATATTGGAGAAGGAAAAAAATATAGCAACATAATTTCAGAGAATAACATTGATGGTTTAATATTATGTAATCATTATAGATCTACTTACCATTAAGGTGAGAAAGATAGTCAATATAGGCCAGAACATATTCTGGAATGTCTCCATATTTCTTTAGCCCCAGCTCAAAAATCTTAAAGGCAACAGATTTGTCCTAGAAATAGAGAGTAAAGTACTGATTTCCATGAAGTGTCAGACAAGATACTCAAAAGGATATTAAAACTATAGTACCTAAATGTGACAAGTTATATTAAGAATTAAAATGGAGCCCTGCCTGGGTGGTTCAGTGGTTGGGCATTGACCTATGAATCAGGAGGTCACAGTTCAATTCCCAGTCAAGGCACATGCCCAGGTTGGGTGCTTGATTCCCAGTAGGGGGCTTGCAGGAGGCAGCCGGTCGATGATTCTCTCATCATTAATGTTTCTATCACTCTCCGTCTTCAAAATCAATAAGGATTTTTTTTTTAAAGAATTAAAATGGAAATTAATACTAATTAATATTAAATAAAAATTACAGTGCTAAACCACTCAAGGAGGTTTAGATTCACAAATATGGAGTTTAATAAAGTAGAAATGAGCAAACAAGTGGGGGTTTGGGTTGATGCTCCATGTAATTGCACTTAAGACTTCCTTTATGCCCTAGCTGGTTTGGCTCAGAGGATAGAGCGTTGGCCTGCAGACTGAAGGGTCCTGGGTTCGATTCCAGTCAAGGGCACATGCCTGAGTTGCAGGCTTGATCCCCAGTAGCGGGCATGCAGGAAGCAGCCAATCAATGATTCTCTCTCATCATGATATTTCTCTCTCTCTCCTTCTCCCTTCCTATCTAAAATCAATAAAAATACATTAAAAAACAAAAAACAAGACTAGCCTAATGACAGGAACTGGGACTTCCTTTCTTTCAATTAAGTATCTCAGATGAAGAAAATAATTTCATTATTAATTTTATTTCAGTACTTACTTTACTACAGTAATACTCCATGAGTGCTGCAGTAACATAGACATGATGGCGGGTTCTGGTATCTTCTCTTGCTTTTTTAAATATCATTCTTCCAGATTTGATACCTTCTGCTCTTCTTGCAAATTTCATATATTGGATGTATACCTATGTAAAACCAAGTATTTGTGTTCCATAAATAAGGCAGAGTGTGATCTGGGTAGTATTTGAAACTGGCTTACATTATCTTAATATGTTTTTTGTATAAGACAGCTTTTTCAGCATGGTGTCAATGTACACCTCTGGAGTTTCCATCTCCTTCATGGCAAATTTCCGGATCTCTCTGAGTGCCTGAGAGGCAGGCTTCTTGAAACCGACTCCATGATGCACTTGAGATGCTGGTGGCATATTCTCTGGCCACTATCTTGTTGATGGCAGAATACCCTTCTACTCCTCACCACCCTTTTTGTGGGAGCTATTATACTGGGCCCAAGTTGGAAAGCCCTCACATTTTTTAAATTTATTGCTATAAAAGCCCACTATTATTTTCCAAAGACCAATAATGTAACTTTATAAGTCATTTTAAACTATTCATGAGCCATTTTATACTCAGCACCTATTGAGTGCCCAATTCATGATGAGTATGTGATATTTGTTCAATGAGCAAATGTCTCTGGATGATGAGTAGGGTCCTGATTTGCCCAGTTTTGATGATGTCAAACTCTTGTTACTCAGTTTTTACAAGTGGATGAATAAAGGGATGAACTATGAATTCCTTGAAGAAAGAAAATTTATCTAATTTGTCATTATACTGCTGGAATATAGCACAGAGCAGTTTGCTAAATTAATTTAAAAATGATTATTAGAGGTCCTGGGTTCAATTCCAGTCAAGGGCACATGCCTAGCTGCGGGCTCAATCCCCAGTGGGGGGAATGCAGAAGACAGCACGACCAATGATTTTCTCTCATCATTGATGTATGTTTCTATCTCTCTCTCCCTCTTCCTCTCCCTTCCTCTCTGAACTCAATAAAAATATATTTAAAAAATCGTTATTAGCCGAGACCGGTTTGGCTCAATGGATAGAGCGTCTGCTTGGGGAGCAAAGGGACCCGGGTTCGATTCTGGTCAAGGGCATGTATAATACCTTGGTTGCGGGCATATCCCCAGTAAGGGATGTGCAAGAGGCAGCTAATCGATGACTCTCTCTCATCGATGTTTCTAGCTCTCTATCTCTCTCCCTTCCTCTCTGTAGAAAATCAATAAAATATATTAAAAAAAAAATCGTTATTAAATGCCAGCAATTAAAACAGTGGAAAGCCAAAACAAACAAACAAACAAAAAAGCAGTATAGCTGAAGCTGACTTGTGGCAGAGTCTAGAGCCTCACACACTGGCCTCCCCTCCCCTCCCAGAAAGAGATCTATGTTGCTTCTACAAAACTCAGGACTTTGAGAAACCATTATTCCAGAGCAGTATTCAGGACAAGGTGAGTTTCTGTCCAATCTCTCCTCAGGATGCTTGTTTCTACTGCCTCCATTTATATAAAAAGAAATATTTATTATGCTGCAATTATGTGGCATAAATGGCTCTAACCATGAGCACAATGAAGGTGTTAGAAAAATGCCCCAGAAGCTATACCATATTGCTGCATTAAAAAAAAAAAAAAGATTGAATAGAAAACAGATCAGCAACTGCCAGTGGTGGGAAAAAAGAAGGGTTGACTACAATGGGGTCACATGAGAGAATGTTTGGGAACGACTGAAGTGTTTAATATTTAATTGTGATGAACAAATGTCACTGGATGATTATTACCGTGATTCATCATCATGATGGTCCCATGATTCAATGTTATTGGTCAAGGGTCATGGAAGTAAACAATAAAAACAGGGAATCTTGTTGTATGCACATACATTTTTTATGTTAAAGCAGGTTGCAAAGGTAGGAAAGAGATTTGTCATGTACTCACCAAGGTGGGGTCAATATCCTCAATTGCCAAAAGTCTGTTATATATACTGTGAACCTTCTCGTACTTCATGCGACTCTAGGGTAGAGAAGAAGTGGACATGAATATATATTCTACACAAGCACGGTTAGAGCTCTGAGGAAGCCAGAGGCCGCCCCCCACAATGGCACCCGCTTTGAGCATAAATATGTAATGAGCTGAGGACTAATAAATGATCATTTTGTATTATCTTTGTGTACCAAAGGCAATATTCCAGGCAAAGATGCAGCCAGAAAAAAAATTCAGTCCTGCAGTAAAAAATCCAATTATAAGAAATTTTTTATTTCTAAATATTTTTTTTACTAACCTCTTCATAATCTGCATATGCAAAATACAGAAGCATATTCTTCTTTAATAAAGTGCTTATGGCTCTTTCATATATATTAGCAGCTTCATCACTAAATAGTTTGGCATTATTCATATCCTAAGAGAGAAAAAAAGAAAAGCTCACTACAAAAATGTTAATATAGCTGAAAGAGAATAAAATACACACACACACACACACACACATGGACACATATCATTTCTGGATTTTAAAAATATTTCAAAGACTCATTCCATTATTTTAACAGCAGAATCATAAAACAATCTAAATGATTCATCACTGTAATACCTTGAAAAATAGTCTAATTACATAAGAGTGTCATTAAGATTCATATTGATATAAATTAAAGTTTTCAACACTATTCTTTATTACCAAAATTTTGTTAATCCTCTCCCTAGGATATTTTTTCCATTGACTTTTAGAACAGAAGGGGGGAGAGAGCGAAACATCAACTGGTTACCAGTTGCCTCCTGCACACACTCTGACGAAGGCCAGGGATCGAACTTGTAACCCAGGAATGTGCCTTTGACCAGGAATCAAATCCAAGACCCTCCAGTGTGTAACCTGACGTTCTAATAACTGAGTGGCACTGGCAAGGGCTCAGTGCTATACTTAGCAAATTATTACTATGCCAAACCCATGGAAAGACAAAAAGGGACAAAAGGAATACTCACCCCCTTCTCTGCTAGCAGTTTACTTGACTGCTCAAGATACTGGGCAGCTTCATACCAAATATCAGGGTGATGGCCCAGCACAAGCAGACACTGTTCATAAGCAAACATAACTAAGGAAAGACAGTCACAACATTCAATTAAAATAAATATTATTTACAAATCTATCAATACAAGCATCACAATTAAACTATTAGGCTAAGGCAGTGTTCGGCAAACTCATTAGTCAACAGAGCCAAATATCAACAGTACAATGATTGAAATTCCTTTTGAGAGCCAAAATTTTTAAACTTAAACTTCTTCTCACGCCACTTCTTCAAAATAGACTCGCCCAGACCGAGATATTTCGTGGAAGAGCCACACTCAAGGGGGCAAAGAACAGTATGTGGTTCAAGAGCCGCAGTTTGCTGACCATGGAACTAAGGCACTGCACTCCAATAATGTATGGTAATTGGAAATAAAAAGTTTTAGTGATTTCTGGCACCATCATCCTCCCACGCCCCATCTATCATTTATAAAGTTAATACTTATTGAACACCAACCATATGCTAGGAATATAAAAAACACCATGAATACACCAGTGAATCTAAGACTTCCTATACTCAAAATGTAAAAAGTATTGTGATTAGTTAAGTACAGGGCACTCATGAAACTTACAGCAGCAGGACTAACATAGTTTAGGGAGTCAAGAAAGGCTTCACTAAGGAATTGACATTTAAAGTGAAACCTGAAGAAGGGATATAAGCTGGTCAGATGTGATAATAAGTGGAGTTCAGGAATGTCAGGAGTAGATACAAAACTGGTGTGGGCAAAAAACTAAAACAAAATGAAGATCAGTATTTGCAAAGGCCTGTAGATGGGAGAGCAAGGCAAGATTGAGGAATTTTTTTAAAGTTCCAAATTCTAGTTCTGGTAGTGGCAGAGGAGTTTGTATCAGATTAACTCTCCCGCAAATGAAATTCATAAATTGAAAAATACAAAAGCAACTATTTAAGAGAGAATGTCCAAAAGAACAGAAACCAGGTAAGTCTGAGCCCTTAAAAAAAATCAGAGCCACACTGGGGAGATCCATATTTATTTAATATGGCTTTTTCCCTCAAGGGCATACCCGTGTGTGTATAGTTCTGGGATAGCTAGGACTCAAGTCAAATGCTGAAGACTTACTGGCTTGAGATAAGATGGAATTCTGAGCTATGAGAGCAACTGAAAATTAAGGGGCAGTTCCCCAAAGAGAGCTATAGAAGATGAAGCCTGAAAATCTGGGCATAGTGCCCTCAGATCTTTAGCTGATACCCAAATATACATGCAAAGGAAAGAACACCAGTACACTCAGAGAACAATTATAAAATGTAATATGTAGAAAGCAAAGCTGGAAGGTTGAAAGAGCTGAATAGATATCTCTGAAGCTGCCCACTGTACTGGAGACCAAGTTAGGAACTGAGTCCCATCAAGTTTTACAGACTGGGTAAACACCTTGAAATTTCCATTATGTCCCTTGCCCTAGCCGGTTTGGCTCGTGGGCCTGTGGACTAAAGGGTCCAGGTTTGATTCTGATCAAAGGCACATGCCCACGTTGCAGGCTCAATCCCCAGGAGAAGGTATGCGGGAGACAGCCATCAGTGATTCTCTCTCATCATTAATGTTTCTATCTCTCCCTCCTTTCCTCTCCCTTTCTCTCTGAAATCAATTAAAAAAAAACTTTTTTTTTTTTTTTATTTTTAAAAAAAGACTATGTCCACTATGTCACAGGACTGAGAGATTTACCCTGAGATTAAGGGCAAATGTAAAACAGACCCATCTTAGTGTAAAACCAAGTCATTACAAAGCCCAGGTGATCTGCCAGTAACTTAACTCCGTGTTAAACTCAACACGTTTCATGGGAAGATAACCAAATCCAGCTTTACAGTGTTTCACTTGTTCATCTGTACAATGTCCATAAGGAAGTGTGACTCACAGTCAAGAAAAAAGGAAACCGCCGAAACCGGTTTGGCTCAGTGGATAGAGCATCAGCCTGCAGACTGAGAGGTTCCAGGTTTGATTCCAGTCAAGGGCATGTACATTGGTTACAAGCACATCCCCAGTAGGGGGTGTGCAGGAGGCAGCTGGTCGATGTTCCTCTCTCATCATTGTTTCTAGCTCTCTATCCCTCTCCCTTCCACTCTGTAAAAAATCAATAAAATATATTAAAAAAAAAAAAAAAAAGAAAGAAAGAAAGAAAGAAAGAAAAAGAAAGAAAAAAGGAAACCAATCCCATAATAGTCCAGATGTTGAATTAGCATACAAGGATTTTATAACTACGGTTATAAATACGTTTAATAATTTAAAGAAAAAGATGGTAATGCATATGAAACTGTAACTATAAAAAATACAAAAATTTATAGAATCTATAAAACTGAAAAGTAAAATATCTTAAATGAAGAATTCTCTAGATGGGCTTAACAGTAGATTGGATATTATAAAACAAAGCACAGTGAACATAGAGACAGATCTATACAAATTACTAAATCTGAAGAACATAAGAAAAAGACAGGTTAAAAAACCTCAGGCCCTAGCCGGTTTGGCTCAGTGGATAGAGTCAGCTTGCAGACTAAAGGGTCCCAGGTTCAATTCCAGTCAAGGGCATATGCCTGGGTTGCAGGCTTGATCCAATGTACAGGAGGCAGCCAATCAATGATTCCCTCTCATCACTGATGTCTCTATCTCTTCCTCTCTGAAATCAATAAAAGTATATTAAAAAAAGAAACAAAACAACCTCAGATTCCTATGAGATAATATCAAGTGGTATAACATGCATGTGACTGGAATCTCAGGAGGGCTAATCTTATTACCTCTTTTTGTTATAAGGGTCTGATCTTCTGTACGAAGAGGGTTGCTCTTTTCCCACTGTATGTATTTCTTCCACATATCTACCTGCTGAGCTTCTTGAGGAGTATTCTGAGGAGGCACTGAGGGAGCATTGCGGTCCAAACCTTTCATTACTGTCTCATATTCCTAGATAAAAAGCATTTAGCATTCTGTGGTAAGCATAGGGACAACTCAGATATACAAAAGGTTGGTCAGTTTGGAATAATTTGCTAAAATGCCAATTTCTTCCAAATACTACTTTAATATAATCTAAATATTTAAAATCGGGGAGAAAGATTATAGCAAATTACCTACCCAAGAACAGGTTATAGGATTGGGTGAAAAGAACACATCTGGTCTGAAAAGATAATCTAGGAGGTCACTCTCCAGGACAGAACATGACTGATGACCTGGTGGCATCATTACTGCCATCTTTTGAGAGACTGTGTCTTTTTAAATTTGTATCGCCACACTATTTTCCCTAACTTCTCATGGTGTCAATTAATGAAAAGCTATGTTCACAAAACAAAAGTCTGTCTCTGAGAGCTGTTATTAGACAACTGAGTAATACAGTATTCAGATATGCATGAGCAAATAGGAGGGAAGGATAAGAACTTCATCAATTATAGTTGAAACTTTGTCTCTACGACCAGTTTCTATATTTAAAAATTTTCTTCCAAACTCAATGTATGCTCTTTTGCCCTTTATCATTAGCAGCGGCGTGCTAGAAGAGGTCAATGGGGGAAAAGGAGACTTTCAACAAGTCAAGAAGGAGACTTTCAATAGAACTATTTTTTTTTAAAAATAGATATTTCATTTCAAATATGTCATCTGCTCAGACAGCGCAACTAATTGTCATTAAGTTTTCTAATGATTGAAAATATTAAGAATAATACCAGACAGGAAAAGCTCTTATGTAAACAAACTCATAACAATCATTGAAATAAGTGGCCTGACAAAATTGCATACCTTTGCTACACGCCTAGCATTCATGTAATCTCTACTCCGATCTTCAATCATTTTTTTAGCCAAATGAATATTGATACCCTAAGGAAAAAGGAAGCATATGTTTTAATTAACTATACTTTTGTATTAGCACAATATAGTTAAATTTATTCATGTACTAAATCACTTTAAACTTTTTATTTTAAAAGACGTTTTTTGTTAATAAAATAAAGGTTCAATCACATTATATAGTTTAGAGATCAAGGAAGATGTGCCAAAGTCTGATATGAACTGGCAATAAATTTCCATAGATCAGGAATTTCTAAAGTTAGGGAATGATTTGGAAAGGATACAAATTCTGTTTCATATAAAATTTTAATAATAAAGAATGATGAGCCCTAGCCGATTTGGTTCAGTGGACAGAGCATCGGCCTGCGAACTGAAGGGTCCCAGGTTCGATTCCGGTCAAGGGCACACGCCCAGGTTGTGGCCTCAATCCCCAGTGAGGGACTTGCGGGGGGCAGCCGACCAATGATTCTCTCTTATCATGGATGTTTCTCTCTCTCCCTCTTCCTTCCTCTCTGAAATCAATAAAAATGTATATTAATTAAAAAAAATAATGATGCACAGATTCATTTGAGAGAATAGCTGTGGATTAATCCTGAAAAGTATTTTTCTAAGTCTGCATAACTTACAAAATAACTGCAAGGGGGAAAAAGGAAAAAAAAGAAAAAGAAAGGCAGTGGTAGAAGTAGACATAAACATTATCGTTCATGTTCAGCAGATCTCAGAGAGTAGACCAAGAAACTGATTTCCAAGATCCTTTCAGTGAGGTCCATAAGATCAAAACAATCTATAACAATAAAAGTGTAATATGCTAATTAGACTGGACAGCCTGATGCAGCAGGGCTGCGAGGGCCGAGCCCCTTGCATGAATTTCATGCATCGGGCCTCTAGTTTTCATAAAATACTAAGACATTGTTTGCCTCTCTTACAAGTATACAGTGGAGTTTTTCAGAGACTATGTGACATTCAATATTTTAAAAGACTGAATTTAGAAGCAAATATAATCTAGCTGTTGATATTAAAGAAATTTGCAAAAATACAAAACAATGCCAATCTTCTCACTAAATTGTTTCTTGTTTTGGAAATTACAGTTTGTTACAATACTATTTATGTTAAAATGTAAGGAGTTTTCTGTTGTAAATTTAAATGATTAAAAAGTATCTTAAACTTTCTGTTTTAATGTTAATATGCAAAATATGATATGTAAAACCCATATTAAAATGAAAAGTTCTTTGTAGTCTTCAATACTTCTTAACCCCCACCGACCCCCCCCCCCCAAAAAAGAAAAGTTACAGAGCTACTCTCATACCTACAGAGGAATGATTTTATTTATTTTTATTTTTTAAATATATTTTTATTGATTTTTCTTACAGAGAGGAAGGAAGAGAGGTAGAGAGCTAGAAACATCGATGAGAGAGAAACATCGATCAGCTGCCTCTTGCACACCCCATACCGGGGATGTGCCCGCAACCAATGTACATGCCCTTGACCGGAATCGAACCTGGGACCTTTCAGTCCGCAGACCGACGCTCTACCGCAGAGCCAAACCGGTTTCGGCTACGGAAGAACGATTTTAATACTCTACATAGTTCTTCCAAATCACAGTGGATATATGAGGAAGCTTATTTGGCATGTATGTTTATTAGCTCAGATGATTAAAGCATATGCCAATGAGCCAAAAATCTTGGATTGCAGCTCCACATTTCACAAATACAAGCCAACATCTTATCTATAACTAGGTAAAAGAGGTGCATTGCAACTGATCACTACTATTGGAAAATCAATTCTAAAAAGGTACCATTTCATAAGGCACCAATGTGTGGGTATAGTTTAACAATGAATAAAAATGGGTTTGTTAGAATTTTGACTTTTCCAGAGTAGTTTCTAAAAAATAATGAGTTTCTCAAAACCTTGCAAAAACATCAGAAGTGGTTCTTTCATTACAATCAACATAAAAACAGACATGCACAGCACTGATATGCAGGTACCTAATATCATAAAGCCTAGAATCTACAAACCCACAATGCATTAAAATTAAAATTAAAATGGTGTGATTATAATAATTAATCTGGCCTAATTTACCTCTTCATACTTGTTATAGTCTCTCCAGAGTTGTTCAATGTTGATCATTGGATTAACACAACCTCGTTGATAAACCCTTCGGACAGCTGTTATTCTTTGATTTTCTGCATAAGATCCAACAGCTTCCCTGGTGTTGGATAAGAAATGCCATCAATCATATTATACCTACATCAACTGTGCACACTGAAACAAATCAATAAAAATACTTACACGCCTTTTAAGAAATTGATGTAATCCACCCAAATCTAAGAAATAAAATAAAATGTTAGTATCTTTCTTAATATTTTCAAATTTATAAGGTGCATATATTAAAAATATTTTAACTCTACCTGATAAGACATAATTTCCATCCCAATTTTATCCAGTGCAAAATCATATGCTTGAGCCATTTTTTCTCTGAAATAAATGTGAAAGACATGTTTTTTTTAAAAAATTGTATTTATTTATTTTTTAAGTGATTTTTACTCCTAGCAGTTTTGCTCAGTGGATAGAGCATGGGCCTGTGGACTGCAAGATTTTAGGTTCAATTCCAGTCCATAGCACATGCCCAGATTGTGGGCTCAATCCCCAGTGTGGGGTATACAAGAGGCAGCCAATTAATGATTCTCTCATCATTGATGCTTCCATCCCTCTCTCTTTTTCTCTGAAATCAATAAAATATATATATATATATATTTAATGTATCTACAATTAAAACAGAATCATAACTTCTGATCACAGTATCAGAACAGCATGTGAACCTTTTGCATGTGTAAAAAATGTAAAGGCATCCTTGCAAGTACACAAAGTACTTCTTTTGGTTAGCTTGCCAATGTCATTTGTTTCTTTTACCTTCTGCTTGTGAGCTTACCAATGACCAGGCCCAGGTTTTATTTATTTTTCTACCCTTTAAATTGTTTAATCTTATATGTAAACCGAGTAAAATGTGGAAATATCTGGTATAAGCAGATGAGTTACATATGAAGATCTATTAATACTTAAGTAAAATTTAGAGTAAAAGAACTTCCATTTCATTATAAGACATTAAGGATAATGAGGAAAAGAAGATAGAATTCTAGTTATAGATAAAACTTAGAGGTGTGTTTTAACATTTGGGAAGGTCCATTACTTAGATTCAGTGTAGTTAGATGGATGGGTGAGAGCCAGAGCAGGGAAACCACAACAGAACTGTCCAATAGGCCTTGCAATATTTAAGCAACACATTGCATCATAACCTACCAAGAGCGGTGCCATAACAAGTAATAAAATGCTCTTTATTAAGTTTGACAATAAGCCTGTCTCTTTCCCTGGAGTTAAGAGAAGGCGAGTTACTGTGGGACTGACTTTGTGCCTCGGGATCACTTGCATTTTTAAAACCCTGATTTAACTTACTTGTAACTTGGTAGTTTGCCCTTGGTTTCTCGGACATATGAAAGATAACACTTCCATAAATCAATGTGCAAAACCTTCATAAGGCATCTCTGAAATAACTACAAATACAAGAAAATATTATCAGAATCCATGAGTAAGTTTCACAGGTACGTGGGTAAAATATAACATTAAAAAACAAACTTAGCTCCTTTCACAAATATATCTTCTTACAAACAAACGGCAAATAACTCCTTCCTAGTTCTTAGTTTTTATTATAAACATTTTTTCAAACATACAGAAGTGCTGAATAAATACAATGAACTATATAATCACTACCTAGATTTAATAATTGTTAACATTTTACTATATTTTCCTTATATGGTTAAGTTCTCAGTTAAGCTTCAGCATATAAGTCCAAGTATCTTTAATAGAACTCACCTTTTCAACCTTGTCATAATTTTTAGCTTTAATCTGAAGAGAAACAGAAAAATATTGGATTAACATCATTCTTCTCAAAGTATTAAAACACTACCTCTCATTTAAAAAAACTAATCTTGCAAATTCATCTCTATACTTTCCTGTTAATTCTGCCTTTCTGAAATAAATAATTAGAAGTTTGAACCCAACTATGGATATATGCATTATAAATATATGTCTTATACAAATGCATCCTATATGAATATTTTCTTATACTCATTTATGTTGAAATTTTGTAAAATAGTTAACAAGATGAATACAGACATACAAAGCACAGAACAGAATTTTTTTGTTGTTGTTACTAATTTTGACTAATGTTATGCGTTAGACAAACTACTATATTCCAGGCACTGGGGCTACCCGTGAACACAATTTATACAGTCTGCCCATGTTCTGATAGAGCTTACCATTTTATGGAAATAAGTGCCAAAATGGGGGAAGTACAGGGTGCTAGGAGCAGATAGGAGGAGCACAAGACTCAGACTTGGGGAGTTGCAAAAGATTTCCTAAAAAGTGAAGATGTTAAGAATGATGTGTTATGCTGGTAAATAAAGGGAGGAGTTATTCCAGGCAGGAGGAATGGCATGTGCCAAGACCACGGTTAGATATAATTAGATTTCCTTTTCTTTTCCAAGTATTTTCCTCAGGTGGTAGGTAGGATTAGTTGCTCAATTATGATTTATCAGCATGTCTTTGTTTTACCCTCAGTGAATAAATGGATTGGTTAGAGAAATCTTGGTTTATGGTCCTTCTCCCTCAACAGTATATATCAATTTTTCCAGTTTTCTGGCTTAAGATACTGCAGTCTTTTTCAGCTTGAGAATTTTCTTTTTAAAATTGTCTCTCCTTCTTCTGTTCCTTTTTCCTTTACAACTCCTATTATACACATTATGCCTACTTACTCTACCTTCAGAATCAATTATTTTTACCCTTTCTTTGACCTAGGTTTAAAAATATTTGTTCCATTAGATTCTCCAGCCACTAATTTGTCTCCATGTCCCCATCCTCCACCATTTGACCTATTCTGTAGTTGATTCAAAAGCAATGATTTTTGGCTCCAGATTTTAATACTGACCTTTCAATTTCATTGTGATCATATTATTTTGTCCTTAGTTTCTCCCGCTCAGCAGCTCTCTTTTGTTGGGGCCTATCCTGACAGCTGCTGCATCATTAACTGCAATTATTTTTTCTGTCTATTCCCTGACGCTGTGTTGGCAGTCTTAGGATAGTAACTGATCCCTTCCCTATCATGACAGCCATGTTGCAGGTGTACACAGAAAATAGGCTGTTGGTGGTCCTCTGACAAAGATCCAGAAAGAAGTTTTTGCTCAAGAGTACAGAGGGCTCAGCCTGCCTGATGTCCACATTCATTAGGGGTAGAAAGGCAGTGGAGGGCCGGGACCGGTTTGGCTCAATGGATAGAGCGTCGGCTTGGGGACTGAAAGGTCCCGGGTTCGATTCCGGTCAAGGGCATGTACCTTGGTTTCGGGCATATCCCCAGTAGGGGGTGTGCAAGAGGCAGCTGATCGATGATTCTTTCTCATCGATGTTTCTAACTATCTCTCTCCCTTCCTCTCTGTACAAAATCAATAAAATATATTTAAAGAAAAAAAAAGAGAAAGGCAGTGGAGGGCTTCCAAGTGTTCCTGTGGGTCAGTTACTAACGCCTTGCCCTAGGCTCTCCACCGCCCTCTTCTTTGGGAAGCCATAAAACCCGAGGTCTCCTTGAATCCAGCTGCCATGCTCAGTAGAGGTAAATAGGCTGAGAATGGCAGTGAAGTGAGATGAGTTAGTCACTAGCTTCCAAGGGCAATGACAGATTATATACAGTTCTTACAATAGGTTAGGGCAGTGGGTGGCAAATTCACTAGTCAACAGAGCCAAATATCAACAGTACAATGACTGAAATTGCTTTTGAGAGCCACATTTTTTAAACTTAAACTTCTAACGCCACTTCTTCAAAATAGACTTGCCCAGGCCGTGGTATTTTGTGGAAGAGCCACACTCAAGGGACAAAGAGTCGCATGTGGCTCATGAGCCGCAGTTTGGTGACCACAGGGTTAGGGAAACCAAACTACGGAATATGAATAGGGGTTTCCAGAAGATAAAATTAAAATGGTTAAAGAAAATATTGCCGGGACTGGCTTGGCTCAGTGGATAGAGTGTCGGCCTGCGGACTGAAGGGTCCCGGGTTCGATTCCGGTCAAGGGGCATGTGCCTTGGTTGCGGGCACATCCCCAGTTGGGGGTGTGCAGGAGGCAGCTGGTCGATGTTTCTCTCTCATCGATGATTCTAGCTCTCTGTCCCTCTCAATTCCACTCTGTGTAAAATCAATAAAATATATCTTTTTAAAAAATATTGCAACACATGCAAACTTACAAAATGGGGAAAACAAAAACAGTTCACAAAGTAAATGTTCATTAATAGGAAAATAGCTTAATCAATTGTGGGGCAGTCATACAATAAATATTATATAATAGTATATTATATACTATTAGGTATATAGTATCCCATGAATTAGGACTATTAACAGGTAGTTTGAGGGAATTTTCACAAGATTTTATTGAATAGAAAAAAAAGGTTAAAGTGTGTATAATATATTCCATTTTTGTAAAACAATGCTCAAAAAATAAATCTTGCACTGGCCAGTGTGGTTCAGTTGGTTGGAGCTTCCGTCCCATCCACCCAAGGGTCATGGGTTCCATTTCCGGTCAGGGTACATGCTCAGGTTACAGGCTCCATCCCTGGTTGGACATGTGCAGGAGGCAACTAATCAATGCTTCTCTCTCATATCCATGTTCATCTCTCCCTTGCTCTCTAAAAATTAATGGAACATATCCTTGGGTAAGGATTAAAAATAATAATAAATAATCTTATTTGTATACGTGTATGTTTGTATGATTTTATGAGCATGGAGAAAATAAGAAACACACACAAAGTTGTTAATGTAGTTGATGGGCAGAGTTCCATCAGTGGAGAAATAGAGAAAAGAAAAAAGAGGCTTTACATTATGTATGATTTCACTTATGCATTTCAGTAAAAATCACGTCTCTAAATGTAAAATATAAATAAACATGCTTACAGGGCGCTACTTGAAAACCAAAGCTTGATTTAAATTTTAAAAAATTCTTGATACTGCTTTGAAGTTTGTCTTGACATCAGATTCTCAAGTCTATCATTAACCAATCAAAAATACCTCCTTTAAATACATACACATAGCTTTAAAAGCATACTAAAACTTGCCGAAACTGGTTTGGCTCAATGGATAGAGCGTCGGCTTGGGGACTGAAAGGTCCCGGGTTCGATTCCGGTCAAGGGCATGTACCTTGGTTGCGGGCATATCCCCAGTAGGGGGTGTGCAAGAGGCAGCTGATCAATGACTCTCATCGATGTTTCTAACTATCTCTTTCCCTTCCTCTCTGTACAAAATCAATAAAATATATATATTTTTAAAAAGCATACTAAAACTTGCTTATATCTACATACTAAAAGTAATGCTATATAATTATAAATGACAGGTCCTTAAAAATTATTTTTGTTTTCAGTTCTCAAACTTCAATGTGCAATCCACCTGAGTTGTTAAAAGTGTAGAATTCTGTTTTGTAACAGGAATCACAAGTTATACTAATGCAGAGATTTTTTTTAATGGTTGGCAATATACCAACATATGACCAATTTATGTATTAGTGTGATGGGATAACTGTTTTTCAAATTTTCTATAATGTAGTTATATTATTTTTGTAATTTCAAAAATCCTTATATAAAAATTTGTCATGAAATTAAAAAGTTTTTGCACAGCAAAGGAAACCATCAACAAAATGAAAACAACTCATGGAATGGAAGAACATGTTCACCAATACATCTCCTAAGGTGTTAATAACCAAAATGTATAAAGAACTTATAAAACTCAACACCAAAAAAAACACTCAAAAGACACACACACACACACACACACACACACACACACACACACACACACAAAACAGCAATGAAAAAATGGGCAACAGACCTGAATAGACACTTTTTCAAAGAGGACATACTAGATTAGATGGCCAATAGACATGAAAAGATGCTCAATGTACTCCAGCTGGTTTGGCTCAGTGGACAGAGCATGGCCTGCAGACTGAAGGGTCCCAGGTTCCATTCCAGTTAAGGGCACATGCCCTGGCAGGCTGGCTCCCCAGTGCAGGGAGGAGGGAATGCAGGAGGCAGCCGATCAATGCTTCTCTCTCATCATTGATATTTTTATGTCTCTTTCCCTCTCCCTTCCTCTCAGAAATCAATAAAAAAATATTTTTAAAAATGATATTCAATGTCACTAATCATCAGAGAAATATCACCTCACACCTGTCAGAATGCCTATCATCAATAAATCAACAAAGTGTTGGCAAGAATGTGAAGGGAATGCTTGTGCACTGTTGGTGGAAATGCAAATTGGTGCTGCCACTGTTGAAAGTAGTATGAAGTTGCCCAAAAAAATTAAAAACAACCCTGGCTGGTTTGGCTCAGTGGATAGAGCATCGGCTTGGGGACTGAATGGTCCCTGGTTCAATTCCAGTGAAGGGCACATGCCCAGGATTACGGGCTTGGTCCCCAGAGGGTGGCAAGAGGGGCAGCCAACTAATGATTCTCATCACTGATGTTTCTACCTCTATCTCTCCATCTCCCTTCCTCTGAAATCAATAAAATTTATATTAAAAAAAAATGAAAAACAGAACTACTTATGACCCAGGAATTCCACTTCTGGGAATTTATCTGAAAAAAACCTGGAACACTAAATTGAAAGAATATATACTCCCCCATGTTCACTGCAGCATTATTTACAATAGCCAAGATTTGGAAGCAGCCCAAGTGCCCACCAGTAAATGAGTAGATGAAACAAATATAGGACATTTACACAATGGAATACTACTTGGCTGTAAAAAGGAAGAAAATTTAACCCTTTGCAACAGCATAAATGGACCTGGAGATCATTAAGCTCAGTAAAATAAGCC